AAAAAACCTACCAAGTAGTCTTTTAAAATAAGCGTAAGATAACTTATGGCACAGAAGTTACAAATTTTAAATTCTCTAACTGTAGCATGTGAATAAAATCCACTGACCTAAATCCTTTCTATAAATTGTTTTAAAATTTTTAGATAAAAATGGTATTTTAATATGGCTATTTGTGCCCTTAAAGCTACAGATGCCAAATTTTTCTTGTCCAGGTCTGTTCTGATTAATTTTCCCCCTTAATTGGGCTTTAAACTGAGACATGGCACTCGGGAGCCAGGGCCCAAGCCCAGCAGAGCTGCTTACAGACCTGGGAAGTGGGGCCTGCCTGGCCGAGGGCCACAAGCTGGCCCGCTGAAGGGAGTCCCTGGAGAACTGCAAAAACTCACATAATCCACAGGTTTTCTGGTTTTTTGTTGGTGGTGTTTTTTGGGGTTTTGGGGTTTGTTTTTGTTTTTGTTTTTTTAAATAAGCTACTGAAATGTTTGAAAACACTTCATTGAGACCATAGTACTCAGTGCCTTTTGTGAGACGGTGGGTCATTTAGCCTTCAGCTTCCCCTCTATTGGATGTAAAAAAAAAAAAACTCTGCTACTTCACTGGCCTCATCCAACAGTGCTTATTTGACCCTTGCCCCTGTCCTTGCCTGTTGTGACAATCACACTATTGAAGGTGGCTTTCCAGTTAAAATACGAGAAGAAGCTTGACAGTCTCTAAATGAATCTTCAAAATAAAAATTTTCATTTGGGGAGGGTATTTTAACAGCAATCTAAGAATAATTAAACTTTGAACTTAAAAAGAGTATCTTAGGGGTGGGGAAATGCCTGAGATATTTTTAAGGCCCAGCTAGACTTTCAGTTCAGAAACCAATTTTCTACATACAGCATAGAAAAAAATGCTATAAATGTTGGGAAAAAAAAGTTTGGCAACATTTATCAGCTGACATACTGTGATAGCTTAATATTTGGATAACATTTGGAAATGGTAGACTTTTATGTTACAAATGGCTTGTCTTTAGGAACATATACTCAATTACCATTAACGACCAGAGCATCCATGGACTCAGATGCTGCCGCCACATACAACTCAAGTGCTGGAATATTTTTCTACAGTCTCCGTTCTCCCCATTCTCTTGTAAACCAGTGTTCAACTAGTTTTATAACTGAAAAGCTGCACATTTTTCATAGTACAAACCATAGTTTTTACCTGTAGTTTGGACCTGTTAATTAAGACATCTGTTAAAGGAAAATTCGGGTGTTAATTTCTTGGGACCGTTTCTGTAACTTCTGCCCTTCACAATATAGAAAATACTGTTATGCCGTTACATTTTAATTCCAGGTTTAAAACCTGTTGAAAGCTGTAGCTTGAAATCAGCTTTGTTTATGTGATGGCATTTAAAAAAGAGCATGTTCTTTTTAAACTGAATTTTATATCTAATCAATGTCTTCAGTCTTGAAGAAGAATTTGCATTGTTGTGTTTGTATATAGAGTATTGCAGTGCATGAATTAGCTTTATGCATTTTATTAAATGCTGTTTCAATGTGGCATTATCGTTGTGGCTTAATACTACTACCTAAATGAGGTTTATACTATTAAAAAAGTGAATTAAAGACTAAATGTGCATCTTCTCATTTCTTCTAATAGTAATAGCAGTAATGCCTGATCCCCAGCGGCTCCGTGCTGTCTCACCCCAAGCAGGTGGTGAGGAAGCAGCCTGTGGTCAGAGCCCTACAGCTTTCACCTCCCCTTAGTCTCAGCCAGAGTCCACGTGCTGGCCCACTGGCCTTATAAACACCTTTAGTGGGAAAGGTATGGCCTTTTCCACTGGGGCCGTTCCTCAGTGTGGAGGTCAAAAAGCCAGGCAGCTGGTTCCGGAGCAGAGCACCCGTGGGCTGCCGGGCCACAGGCTGTCGGCACAGATGCGCCAGAGCCAGGCTGCAAAAACCAGCACGTGCTTCCTGTAAGGGTAACGACTATCCAGAATAAAAGCGTGGTCTTCCAGTTGTAGAAGTTGGAGAGCACTTGCTCGGTATGTCACGGCACTTCTCATTTTACTGGTGAGGATTCTCAGGTGCAAAGTCAGATTCCTGGCAGAACCCCCCAGCAACCAGACAGCTTTAAGTGGCCCTGCCAGGTCGTACTCAAAACGAAATCAGTCACTTCAGGAGAACAAGGTCTAAAACCATGCATCGTTTGTGCAAAGAAAAAAACATAACTCCTCATAGCGATTTTTTCCTCCCGTTTCCGTAAATTTTAAACCCATCTTATCATTACTAAACCGCGGCGGAAATAGAAGACAAAGGTTTAAAGAGATAACCTTGTCCCCTAGTGGTGCTTATTTCAAGTCTCTGTAAAGAGAGGGGCAGCACTGTCCCATCAGGCACTAGATGCTTCTCTCCAAAGAGGGCTCGTTATCCAGGTCAGCAGCCTTTCTGGGGCCCCCCATTGGGCTATGGATGGAAGGGGTACTTCCCGAACGCTGGCTTACTTGCTGTGCACACAGACCAAAGGGAACAGACTCTTTCTGAAAAGCCCCAGCAGCTGGTGGGAAAACCACGGCTGCGGTCACGTGGGAGCGGTTATTAGAAACCAGACAGAGGGGCGCCTGGGTGGCTCAGTTGGTTAAGCGACTGCCTTCGGCTCAGGTCATGATCCTGGAGTCCCGGGATCGAGTCCCGCATCGGGCTCCCTGCTCGTCAGGGAGTCTGCTTCTCCCTCTGATCCTCCCCCTCTCATGCTCTCTGTCTCTCATTCTCTCTCTCTCAAATAAATAAAATCTTTTAAAAAAAAAAGAAACCAGACAGAGGATTAGAATGGAGGGCAGATTTCTCTGCTCACCCTCCAAAATTGTAAAAGGGGGCAGGGTGCCCTGTGGTGCAGACCTGCGATTAGACACACAACCCTGGTGAGCCTGCAGCCATCCCCCGCACGCACGCACGCACGCACGCACCCACCAGCCATGACCCGTGAACACCAGTCAGATGCAAAATCACAGAAAACCACAACCTGAGCATCAAATGTAAAAGAAGCCAAACCCCTCCCAATGTAATGGGCTGACCCCCAGCATTTATATAAAACCTTCTGGTTCCACATCCTTTCCCATGGCAGTCTACCTCCTGACCTCCCCCTGCTCCTTTCAGCCCCATTGGGCGGCTGCTTCCCGCAGGGCAGTCTCCACGTCCGCCTCCACGGCTCCCCGGGCCAGCTGGTCCCTCACTTCTGACCAGCTAAACCGTAAGGCAGCCAACCCTTGAGGGCTCTGGTGTTGCCGGAGGGCTGAAAGGCCGGGCAAGTAACCGCAGTATCCATGTCCTGTGAGGGAAGAACTAGGCGGACCCTCCGTAAGCCCTCACCCCCTCTTCCAAACCTTACAAAGTAAGGCCTGAATGAGCAAGAGGGCAGCCTCCAATACCAGCCCTCAGAGCAGGGCCCTGCAGTCTCAGCCAGCCCGCCCCTCTGCCTGTCCCCCATCCTGGTCTGCAAACCTGTGACCGGGCCCTGGGGCCGGGAAGGCGGCTGGCAGAGGGCGCACACCGGAGGGGGGCTGGTCTGTGCCCGTCTCGAGGCCTCCTGCACCGCCGACAGCCAGGCCTCCGGGAGGAGAGTGGGTTGGCTGCAGCAGTTGAAAGGGGAGCGCTGACAGGCTTGCCCTGGGGGTTCTGAAGAAGCCCGAAGAGCCTGAGCGGAGGGGGACTTCCACGTTGCCAACCACCCAGCTCCAGCCAGATCCTACCAGATCCAACCCCAGCAGCTCCTACCTCTCCAGAGCAGGGCCTGGAAGAAGAATCGAAGCCAACAGAGACGAGGAAAGGGCGGCAGGACCGACCCAGGGATGTCAGCAGGCTGTGGCCTCAGACCTTCCCCAGCCCCACGCGGGCCTTTCTCCCGTGCCCACCGGACCAGACACACATCACCATGCCGGGGACCAGGACACATTTTATTGACCTGATAGAGCGGAGATACTCCCCCGACCCTGCCACGTCCTTTCACGCAGGTGTGCGAAAGGGGACCCTCTCACGGCAAAGGGATCTTTCAGAGTCCCGCCAGGGACAGAACCAGGGGCTTCCCTGGGTGTGGCCTGGGGCCTCAGTCCTGGGTGCTGGCCTTCAGCATGGCTTTGTACTTCCCTGTCAGCTCCTTGGGTAAGGGCACCAGGCCCGGGCAGGGCACCTGCCCTTCCACCTCGCAGATACACTCCCGCAGGCAGTACTTTCGGGGCCCAAAGTGGGCTGGGTGAGAAAGCTGCTTTTTCTCCTGCTCCTCCTCCTCCAGGGTTTCCCTGCCGAAGAGCAGAGAGAGCAACAGGTGTGGGAACAGCGCTCTGAGCCTCTAGGCAGCGTGGGACTTCTTGGCCAAGTGCACCCCGCCAGCAGCCAGGGAGCCCTGGCTCTCCCGTGCCTCTCAGCCTGCTCCCCGACCCCGACCCCAAAGTCTGCCGGCCCTCCCCCACAGGCCTCCCAGGTCACCCGGCCCGCACAGGCCCGCACAGGCCCACACAGCAGCAGTCAGCCTCCCTCCGGCCCAGGGGCAGCCCCAGCTCTGAGGCAGCACAAGGCCAGGGGGAGGGGCCTGCAAAGGCCTCTGTGCCCTTCCTCCAAGACGCACTTTCTTGGCTTCCTTCCCCTTCCTCTTTCCATCCACGTAAAGAGAAAGGACGAATCCCCAACACATACCGGGGTTAGACACCCACCAGCTCTAAGGAGAGATTCTTCCGGACAGGTGGCTGCAACCGCCCAGGCAAGTGTTCCCACAGCACCTCAGCTTCCCGTGGAGCCGAGGAGGCAGGGTGGTCTCCGACCCCACCTCCCAGCGGAGGGAGGGAGAGCTCACACAGGCTCGCTGACTTACAGCCCCACAGCTGGGGATCCGGGGAGCCGCAAAGCCCCACGGGACGGCCTCTGCAGCCCGGGAGCTCCGGCTGTGCGCGCCCTCCTGGCGCTCCTTTTCTCCCTCCCTCCGTGCCGAGACATTTGCTCCCCTCCAGGTCAGGCCCAGCAACTCACTTGTTCTTCCCTAGGATTTTCCTGATGTGCTCCATGATCTCCGTATTGCTCTTGGTCTCCACATCCACGAGGACCTGCTCCCCAGAATCTGGAAATGGGAAGCAAAGGGGACAAAAAGTGCTAAGGATTGGGCAGCACGCTCCTCAGCCTCAAGTCACGGTGACCAGTTTGCTTTTAGTGGTGAAGCATTTTAACAATAAGATAAATATGTTTGTCTACATAACCCATAATGATACCCTTCTTTTTTCTGTATTTCTTTAAACATGAGCAAAACTGAGGTATGTGCGGGGCACCTGGGTGGCTCAGTCGTTGAGCGTCTGCCTTCGGCTCAGGTCATGATCCCAGGGTCCTGGGATCGAGCCCCACATCAGCCTCCCTGCTCAGCGGGAAGCCTGCTTCTCCCTCTCCCACTCCCCCTGCTTGTGTTCCCTCTCTCGCTGTCTCTCTCTGTCAAATAAATAAAATCTTTAAAAAAAAAAAAAAAAAACTGAGGTATGTGCAAAAGCATACTATTTACTTACTTTTATTTATTGGAGAGAAAGAGCACACACACAAGCAGGGAGGGGCAGAGGGAGAGGGAGAAGCAGACTCCCGCTGAGCAGGGAGCCCAACACGAGGCTCGATCCCAGGACCCTGAGATCATAACCTGAGCTGAAGGCAGACGCTTCACCGACTGAGCCACCCAGGCACCCCATAAAGCATACTATTTTAATGGAAAGCAATTTTCCATTTCCATGTCATGGATAGAATCATCAATATCCTTAAGATGACAATTCTTCCCAAACTAGGCCATGGATTCAGTGCAATCTCTATCAAAATCCTAGCAGGTGTTTTTGTAGAAACTGGTAAGTCGAGTCTCAGATTCATGCAAAGGACCCAAAGTAGCCAAAATAATTTTGAAAAACAAGAAAATGGGAGGATGTTCATGTTCCAATTCCAAATTTACTATAAGCTACAGTAACCAAGACAGTGTGGTATTAGCGTAAGAACATACTACAGAGCAATGGAACAGAACTGAGTCCAGAAATAAACTCATATTTTTGGCCAACTGTCAGCAAAGATGCCAACACAATTCAACAAGGTAATGAATGAATTTATACCTTTAGTGCACAGCATTAAAAAAAAAAAAAAGGAAAAAAAACCTGAAATTGGATCAGAGACCTAAATGTATGAGTTAAAGCCTCTATTAAACTTCTAGAAGAGGGGCGCCTGGGTGGCTCAGTCGGTTAAGTGTCTGCCTTCAGCTCAGGTCATGATCCCAGGGTCCTGGGATGGAGTCCCGCATCGGGCTCCCTGCTCAGTGGGGAGTCTGCTTCTCCCTCTCCTTCTGTCTCTCTCCCCAGCTTGTACTCTCTCAAATAAATAAATAAAATCTTTAAAAAAAAAAAAAAAAAACTTCTAGAAGAGAACAAAGGAAGTCTTCATAGCCTTCTAGGCAAAGATTTTTAGGTATGACATCAAAAACATGGTCCATTAAGGAAGTAATTTGATAAATTAAAATTCATCAAAGTTCAAAACTTGTGTTTCAAAAGATACTAAAAGCTGGGGCGTGTGGCTGGCTCAGTCAGTGGAACATGCGACTCTTGATCTCGAAGTCGTGAGTTTGGGCCCCACATTGAGTGTAGAGATGACTTAAAAATAAACTTAAAAAAAAAAAAAGATACTAAAAGCCAGAGTCGGGCGCCTGGGTGGCTCAGATGGATAAGCGTCTGCCTTCGGCTCAGGTCATGATCCCAGAGTCCTGGGATCGAGTCCCGCATCGGGCTCCCTGCTCCACGGGAGCCTGCTTCTCCCTCTGCCTCTCTCTCTCTCTGTCTCATGAATAAATAAATAAAAATTTTAAAAAAATAATAATAAAAAATAATAATAAAAGCCAGAGTCTGGGAAAAAATATTCATAACGCATACACCTGATAAAGGATTTCTATCCCGACTACATAAAGAACTCTCACAACTCCTTAAGACTATCCAACTAAAAATACAAAATAAACATTTAACAAAAATTAATAACAGTTAATAATTAGCACATAAAAAGATACTATTCATCCATCATTAGTCATTAAAATGCAAATTAAAACCACAGGGCGATATTGGAGTGGCTCAAAATTGTTTAAATGGGTAACGCAAGTGCCAGGGAGAATGCAGAATAACTGAACTTTCCTACATGGCTGGTAGAAGTGCCACTTTAGCCAGTGAATACACAGAGAAAGGAAAGAAAGAAAAAGATTGGAAAGGAAGTTAAAACTGTATTTGCAGACAGAATAATTGTGTATATTGAAAATCCTAAGGAATTTAGAAAATAAAACAGAAATAATAAGCAAGGTGGCAAGACACGAGGCCCACACACAAAAATCAACTGGGCTTCTATAAAGTTGTAACCAAACAACTGGAAAATGAATTGTTTTTTTAAATACTTTTCACAGTAGTCACAAAACATACTCCACATTGTTAAAATGCCTATTTCTCCTCAAAATGATCTATAATGTAACTCCAATCAAAATCCCAGCAAGCGGGGAGCCTGGCTGGCTCAATCAGGAGAGCATGTGACCCTCGATTGCAGGGTCATGAGTTCAAACCCCACACTGGGCATGGAGCCTACTAAAAATAAAAAAAATAAAAAATAAAAAAATCCCAGCAAGCTTTTATCTAGAAACTGATAAGCAGATTTGGCAGGACGCCTAGATGCCACAGCCAGTTAAGCATCCAGATTCTTGATTTTACCTCAGGTCATGATTGAGGGTCATGAGATCAAGCCCTGCATTGGGCTCCGTGCTCAGAGCGGAGTCTTCTTGGGATTTTCTCTCTCCCTCTGCCCCTCCCACCCGCTCGCATGCACTCTCTAATAAATAAATAGATCTTTTTTAAAAAGTTAATATATAAATGCAAAGAACGTACAACTGCCAAAGTAATTTTGGAAAAAAAAAACAACAAAGATTTAAAACTACCTGATCCTAAAGACTTACTATAAAGCCACAAACCAAGACAGTGTGGTATAGCCTAAGGACATACAGATCAGGAGAAGATGAAGTCATAAATATAAAGTCAAATGGTATTTTTGTGTGGTAAAATACACATAACAAAAATTACCATTTTAACCATCTTAAAGTGTGTAATTCTGTAGTTTCTTTCTGTCCCTATGGACTTGCCCGTTCCAGACATTTAAATAAACGGAATGATATTATCTGTGACCTTCTTGTGTCTGCCTTCTCTCACTTGGCTTATGTTTTCAAGTTCACCTGGGTTGTAGCATTTGTTGGTACTTTGTGCCTCTTCATGGCTGAGTAATATTCCACTGAATGGAGCTATATCAAGTTTTGCTTATCCATTCAGAGTCGACTGAGTTTTGATAAAAATGCCAAGGAAACTAAATTAGGGAAAGGACGGGTCATTCACCACGTGGTGCTGAAACACCTGAGTATCCCAAACCTAAAACCAAAAACAAGCCTCAGTCCCCAGCACACTTAATCCACAAAGAACTCAGCCTCTAGCAAAGACCCGAATATGAAACCTACAATGATAAAACTTCCAAAGGACACAGAGGAGAAAATCTTTGCCACCCTGGGGTAGACGGAGACTCCTGGACAGACACAGAAAGCACAAACCATAAAAGAAAACAACTGACAAGCCGGAGTTCTTCCAGATGAAACTTGTGCTCTCCCAAAGACCCCATCACGAAAAGAAAGCCAAAGCTGAGAGAAAAGAGTCACAATGCACCTACCCAACCAAACAACCTCATCCAGAAGAGAGAGAATTCAGTGAGAAAACGAACAGCCTAGTTTTTTTTTTTTTTAATGGACAAAAGATTCAAAATAAACTCTTTATGAAAGAAATCTGTGAACGGCCAAAAAGCACATGAAAAGATACTGGGAAAACGCAAATTAAAACTTTGATGAGGGGTGCTTGGGTGGCTCAGTCATTAAGCATCTGCCTTCAGCTCAGGTCATGATCCCGGGGTCCTGGGATCGAGCCCCACATCGGGCTCCCTGCTCCGCAGGAAGTCTGCTTCTCCCTCTCCCACTCCCCCTGCTTGTGTTCCCTCTCTCGCTGTGTCTCTGTCAAATAAATCAATAAAATCTTAAAAAAAAAAAAAAAACCTTTGATGAACCCTGAAAGACTAAAATTTTTAAATATTTATGGGGCACCAGGGTGGCTCAGTCAGTTAAGCGTCCTACTCTTGGTTTCGGCTCAGGTCATGATCTCGGGGTCATAAGATAGAGCCCTATGTCAGGGTCCATGCTGGGCACAGAGCCTGCTTAAGATTCTCTCTCCCTCTCCGTCTGTCCCCCACCCTGACCCCGCTTGCGCTCTTTAAAAAAAAGAAATTTAACGTGGTAAAGAGAATGACCCTAAAACATGTCCCTGTCCTACTCCCCCAGAATGTGTGAAGAGGTCACCTTAGTGGCAAAAGGGGCTGTGCAGATATGAGTCAAGTTAAGGCCTGAAGTTGGGCCCATTCTCCCGGGTCACAGCCTAAATGACTCACACGGCCCTTAACATCAGAGAACCTATCCGGGCAGTGGTCCAAGGGGCACATGACCATGGAAGACCAGCCAGATAGGCCATGTTGCTGTCCTTGAAGATGGAGGAAGGGGCCACAAGCCAAAGAATGGGGGTGGCCCCTAGGAGCTGGAAAAGCCCCGTGAAAGAATTTGCCCCCGAGCCTCCAGAAAGGAAGGCTCTGCTGACACCCCTTGATTTCTGTCCACTTTGGCTTCTACAGAAATGTAAGAAATGTGTGTTGTAAGCCACCAAGTCTGCGCTAACTTGTTATGCAGCCACAGGGAACACGCCGGTAACAGTGGGTGAGGATGGGGAGCCGCCAGGGCTCCCATGCCCTGCTGACTGCAGGCAAGACGGGCGCTGGTTCGAGAAAGCAGTTCAGCAGCGCCTAAGAACATTACATACCGATCCTAGGGCCCAGCAACCCCACCCTGAGGCACATGCCCAGGTCCACAGGACAACTTGTTCCAACCTTTGGAAGGTGCGGAGGCGCACCAGCTCCGAGGAGCCAAAACTAGAAACGGCCCTCGACAGCCCCAGAGGCCCTCCGGGGGAGCAGCCGGCCCACAGCGCCACCGTCTGGGACCTGGCCATTTCGGGAGTCCCTGCTGGGTGGCCCAGACCGGCTCAGGCCTGCACCGCCATCCGAGGCGCCTCCCACCAGACTTCCCTCCAGAGATGTCCCACCGGCTCTGCCATCTGAGGACTTTCCCTGCCTCCCCCTCCCCTTATCACCAATAAATCTTCTAACTCTGCCTCGGCACTTAACAAAAAACCCCATGTCATCAACAGGGAAACGGATGAATAAACCGGTATATTCCCACAGTGGGACACTTGGCACTAAAAATGAATCCACTATGGACATACATAACAGATGAGTCTCAAAAACATGATGTGTAAAAGCCAGACCCAGCAGAACACCCACCGTGCCACCACCCCTAGGACGTTCCAAAACAAAACTGATCTACGGAGAAGTCCGAGCGGCGGCCGCCCCTGGTGGAAGGGGGAATCCAGGGGGAATCCCCTGGAAAGCCGCACGTGGGGACTTTCTAGTCAGAGATGCTCCGTATCATCCCTTGCAAAGTGGGAACACAGCTATGTAACAATTGTCAGAACTGATCAATTTATGCACAGAAGACCCGTGTGTTTCATTACGGGTAAATTATACCTCAGTGAAATTAACTGTTTAAAATGCAAACAAAATACATCCACAAAACTGCTACCGCACCACCATTCTCTTCACCCACCTGACCTCGCTCTAGGCTTCTTTCATAGCACTTATGCCCTGGGATCCTGTCTGGCTAAGCTTCTTGTCCTTTCGGTCCCCTCCTGCTACGCTATCATCCCTACGAGGGCAGACATCTTTGTCCCTACAGCTCCCTGACACCCCAGGCACTGTGCCTGGGCCCAGCGGCCACGCCACACGTATTTGCCGAATGGATTTAAGATCAGCATCATTCTGCTTCCTGAAGCATCTCCCAAACTACACTTCATGTGGTTCTTACAACCACGTAAAGCAGATGCTGGACCTTCACCTGAGAAACAAAGCAATGGGAACATGACTCGCTCAGGGTTGGAATGACTGAGTAGAGAGCGGAGTCAAACATCTGGTCTGACTTCCAGGCACTGAGCCCAATAGAACCGAACAGACATTCATTCTGTGCCTCGTGGGAAAAGACAGCATCGTGGAAGTGTGTGGCCCGGAAAGGACACACACAGATACACACACTGCTCAAGAGGACATGGCCAGCACTGAGCAGGCAGCTGGGGGAGACCGGGAAGGGACAATGTAAGGGTGCAGGGAGGGCTTCCTGGAAGAAGTGGTGCCCAAGTGGAATCTCAGAAAGATTTTAAAAATAAATCAATAAGCAAAGCAGCACGGGATTTCCGGCAGAGGGACCAGCATGAGCAAAGGCAGCAAAGCGAGGTGTGGCAAGGGAATTTGGAAAAACCAGCTGTATGCTGTGAGGCACGTAGAAAGATGTGGGGGCAACAGGAGATGGGGCTGGAGAAACAGGGGAAGAGTCCAGACCTCAGTGGCTACTGTGTGCCACGGTCCAAAGCCAGTGATGACGGGCGCCTGGGTGGCTCAGTCGTTAAGCGTCTGCCTTCAGCTCAAGTCATGATCTCAGGGTCCTGGGATCCAGCCCCACATCGGGCTCCCTGCTCAGCGGAAAGCCTGCTTCTCCCTCTCCCACTCCCCTGCTTGTGTTCCCTCTCTCACTGTGTCTGTCAGATAAATAAATAAAATCTTTAAAAAAAGAAAAAAAAAAACAAAGCCAGTGATGGAAGTAAGGGACGTTTACAAAAGCTCATAGCTCAGATCCCCCAAGCACTATGGTGGGAGGAAGGGATGGGAAGAAAGACCCTCCCGGCCTTGGCAGAGGCCACACTCACCCAAATAGAACCGCAGGAAGGGGGACGGCGTCATGTTCTTAAACATCATAATCTGTACCCAAGGATTTTTGTACTGGATCTGAGGTATGTTGAAAAACACAAACTTCCTGCAAAAGGGAAATTAAACCTGTGAAACAGAGTTAATTTGAAATGCTGTGCACCTGTTTATTTTTTGAAGGAGATAGTCCAGAACTTTCATCCAATTCTCAGGGGACCCTGCCCCACAAAAAGGCTGAGAAAAGCAGCCGTCAGGAATTTATTAGTATATTCTCTGAACAGTGGGTGTCAGGACTTGTGGCTTGTCATTTGAGGGAAAAGACATCTGTACCCCTACCTCACACTGCACACTAACCTAAAACTCACTGAGCAGAAGAATAAATGTAAACATAAAACTATGAAATGTCCCAGATCTTGGGTGCTGGTTAGACAGATGTATTCATTCCTAAGCAGAAGCTCATCAAGCTGTATACTTCATGTAAATTGTACCATAATTTTAAAATAAATGAAAGCAAACATGGAGAATACCTTTAAACTTAGGTTTAAAACACAAATAGACCACCTTAAAACTTTTATATGGCAAAATTTACCAGAAACAAAATCAACATTTGCCAAATCAGAAGAAAAATGTTTGTAAAACATAAAACAAAAAGGCTAATTCCTTTGGTAAAGTTTTACACATCATTAAGATTTACAATCCAGGGGCGCCTGGGTGGCTCAGTCGGTTAACTGTCCAACTCTTGATTTCGGCTCACATCATGATCTCAGGGTCGTGGGATCGAGCCCCACATCGGGCTCCACGCTCAGCACAGAGTCTGCTTGGGATTCTCTCCCTTCCCCTCTGCCCCCATGCACTCATCCAAACACACACACTCTCTTTCTCTCAAATAAATAAATAAATAAAATCTTAAAAAAAAATGTTTTACAGTTCAGCCACAAAAGCCACAAACAGGCAGAAACCCAAAGAGCCTATCATCTTATGAAGAGATTCTCAATACCTTCCCAATAGTCATGTAAGTTAAAATAGGATTCTTTTCCACCTGTTAGATTGCTAAAGATTAAAAAAAAACAACAAAAAGAAGTTACAGAAATCAGGATACACTTCCTTAAGAATTGGTTTAACCTCTTTGGAGGTCAATTTGGAACTAGCAAAATATAGAAAGCATAGATCTTGACAGTGATTTCACTGCTTTTAGACATTTTTACACCTGAATGCAAAGACATTATTTGTTACAGCAAAGGAACAGAAACAACAAACGTCCTTCGAGAGAGGACTAATTAGGACACAGCTACATGTCTGGCTCCCTCTCCACCTGCTCTCCATCCTAAAGTGCTAACCTACATGGGCTATGAGGTGGGCTTCCTTGACCTCTGACTTCATGTTGGGTTTGGCCAACAATGAGTGCTGGCAAGACTGAAAGGAGAGGGCAGAGTCAAAGTATTCTTTCCCTGACTCATCTCCTGGCTGAGTCCCAGGCTCTTGTCAGGCAGCCCTCTCCCCGTCACTTCTGCAAGCCTAGACCTGAGGTCCTGCACGGTCCCTTATGGTTTCTTTTCCCCATCCTTGCCCATACCTCTGTAAATAGTCCCTTAATTAAAGGCTCCCCAAATGATCCTAATTTAAATGTGCCCTCTGCTTCCTCCTGCGACCCTGCCCCACATCAGATGACAGACAGGTGCGAGTGATACATGGGACAGTAACACAGTCACCCAGCTTTACCACTTCTCAGCTGTCTGAGCCAGGACAAGTTACTGCTCTGTGCCTCAATGTTTATGCCAAGATGCTGGCAATGCAGGACAACCAGTCCATAGTGGAGCTTGTAATTCGTTTTTAAGATGAATTGATAGAATCAACAGAAGGCAACTGTGTGACCATTTACTTGGGGAGACTTCCATAACCGGGGCAGAATCTGCAAGCAAAACAAAGCAAAAGCAAGGACAATTATTAACTCCAGGGAAAACAAAAAGCTTTGCAAAAACAAAAAGGAAAAAATAATCATAGTACTCTAATTGGTCCAACTGTGTACAGTGTTCACAGTCGTATTAATTTAAACATTGAATATTGTTCTAGCCAAAGTTCTGAAATGACTATCCTGGGAGGATGAAGAGCTGAGTAATATGCATGTGTTGGGTTGGGGAATGGCAATAGTGGGGAAAGAGCTAAATTCTCATCTTCCATAGTGGCAAGACAACAGATAAAGCCTAAACCTAGAAAAGGAAGAAACAGCTCTCCAAGTATGGTATTTAACTATGCAAGGGAAACGCTAATGAAATGGTTAGAGTTGTAGAAGTTGTTGCCTCTAGGGGAGGCAGTGGAGGTAAGGTCCTACTATATGCCTTGCATCACGACAGCACACAAGGCTCGAAGCTCCAAAGCTGAATTTACCTTCCTGGGCTTATGACGTCTCTGCTCAATTACCACCCCACAGCAGAGGATCTCAACATCGTACAAAGAAACCAGGGCATATCCATGCAGGAATTGCTCACACCTAGAACTACTAGGGCAAAAACTCAACAGGAATTTGTTTGTGTTGTTTTTTTGTTTTTAAAAGATTTATTTATTTATTTGACAGAGAGAGAGAGAGAAAGCACACAGTGGGGAGGGGTAGAGGGAGAGAGAATCTCAGGGAGACTCCCTGCTGAGCATGAAGCCCAACATAGGCCTCCATCTCATGACCTGAGCCAAAATCAAGACTCAGACACTTAACCAAATGAGCCACCCAGGTGCCCCCTCGACAGGAAGATGTAAACGGTTTGTGAAACCTGAGAACAAAGTTGATAATAGTAGGTAACCTTTAGTTGAGCACCTGCTGTACATGCCAGACACCTTAGGCATTTTAATACTTGAATCTTCACAATGACCCTGCAAGGTGGGGTTTTATAACTAAGCAAACAGGTCAGAAAAGTAAACTGCCCTAGGTCACGCAACCAGTAAATGAAAGAAGAGGGCTGTGTGCAGCTGGACCTCAGCCACTCTTCTGTCACCATCAAATTACCAAATTCACCTAGATCCTGAGGCTCAGGATGGACACAGAACTCAAAAAATGCTAGCAGCTGTTACTTTTTTTTATTGCACCTGAAAGGCAAGAACATCTGGCAAAGGTGAGCAGGGACTTAGCCCTCAGACACTAAGGCAGCTCCCCACACACCCAGCAGACACCCGAGACTATGGCTGGCCTGGGGAAGTATACTGGTGTACTTGGAATGGAGGTGATCCAGGGAGGGACAGCTGAAATGCTAAGAGTATATGAACAAGCAAAGGCCGGTGGGGCTGGAAAGGGCAAGTCCGGTAGACTCAAACCCAAGGGCACGAAATCCACAAGGGCATACACAGGCTCTTACCATTCGGAACAATGAAGCACAGAATGGCTGTTTGGCTCTTATTTACCTACAGGGTATTAAAATACTTGAACTGCAAGTATAAGGCCTGCAGGTCTATTCTGATAGACTGATCATTTAAAAAACCAGAGATTTATATAAAAATCTGAATTTCTGGCTTCTTGACAAGTCAGAAATTCTCCGTGGGCCCACTAAGCCGTAGCCAAGCAGTGAATGGCCCCTGGGTGACAGGGCACATTTTCCCAATCTGAGCAGGCCCATCCAGACTGCTTCCCTCCTTTCTGGTACTGCCCCACCTCTGCTGATTCCTAGCGTGGACGGATGGGATGCACAGTGAGTTATGAAGGAGTATCCGGGTGCCCATTCACCCCTAGACCCAGGTCTTCCAGAAGCCATCAGCCCACCTGTTCCCATGCAAGCAGCTACAAGTTTTTGGCTTCACCTGTGGACAACAAATAGCTAGGAGGTAGCTTCTGGCTATCCTGAACAGCTGTGCAGCAAAAGCCCCTCACCAGGGGGGGACCATACCCTACTGGGAGCACTTCCCCAGCCCATTTTGATCCACCCAGTCCCAAAGCTTCTGAAGGACAAGACTTCTTCTTAGGCACTGTTGAATCCCCAGCTCACAGCATGGGGCCAAGCATTCAGTAGGCAATCAGTAAATTTATACCTAATACCTGAAAAGCCCAAAGCACCGCTGCTGCCTCAAGGTTCAATTCAAACACTTCTTTTCTAAGCTTCCATTTAAGGAGCTCTCACTCTGCTCCATGCTGAAAAGCCACCCCAAGGAGTTTAAGGTGGGGGTGGGGGTGGGGGGCGGCGGTGGGGGTATGGAGCCTGGGGCTACACAGCTGACATAATCAATTATGAGAGGGACGAGTCCTGCAGCGGAGAAGCCCGTTCACAGCTACGGCTCACCACCACTCACCAGCCAGCGTGGTGCCCTGGGCAAGCAAGTTACTAACATCTCTGTGCGTTTCTTCATCCCTAGAATAGGGATAACCATGGGGCTTCTATAAACATCAAATGAGACAATGCATGACAAACATTCAGAAGCACGCCGCACACAGAAGGGCTCAGTAAGTGCTAGCAGCTGTTACTTCTTTCACTACATCCCACAGCGGCTCTGGACATAGGTATCATGCCAGTTTGGGACAATAAGGAGCAACTCGCCCAAAGCCAGCAGTTGTTAGAGCTGGGACCTAAACAGGGTCCGTGGCCTCTGGGCTTGGCTCCATCCAGAGCAGAACGTGCGCCGCTGCTCCCCACTGCTCGCCGGCCAGGCACAGGTAGTTAAGGAGACTCCGGCCTCCCCGGGTTAGCCTAGTCCTCCAGCGGGGAGGAAGGGGAAGGGGTGGGAGACCCTTGTCCTCCGCTCCCCGACCTCAGTCACGACTGCCCCTGGCACAGCGCGGCCCTGCTGTCCTCAGTCTCCTCGTCTGTAAAATGGGGCCAATGGCACCCAGCTCAGGAGGCCAGCCTCGGGATCAAGTAGCACCCAGAGCAGCTCCAGGTCTCAGCGTTACTAGCACGTCATTACAGCGAGCAGGGTACGTCCGCGCGGCCTGGGGGCGGCCTCAAAGGGCTCCGACTGACCTGGCGCCCTCGCCCAGCTCCCCGTGCGTGTTGTAGTTCACCGTCATGACCTTCACTGAGTCCTTGAACACTACGTCTCCCTGGCCCAGGTACTGGAGGGTGCGGCGGATCGGGAAGCGGCCCTTCATGGGCATGGCGGCGGAGGGGTCGGGCCGCGGGCTTAGCCGCGAGGACAGACCCAAAGCAGCCGACGCTGCTGGCCCGACGAACCTCACACCGCTTCGCCTCCTCGCTGGTTTCCACTTCCCGCGCAGACGCACAGGAGACGCCTCCCGGCGGGCAGCGCACGCGCGCGCCGCGGAGCAGCTTGGAACTTGTAGTCCCGGCCAGCGTTGGCTTAGGGTTTGGGGCGGGGATCCCGCTAGTACACCTTCGCTTTAGAACACCCACCCGGAACTTATGCTTTTCACACTCTGTAAATTAGCCTCTCCCCACCCCCACCCCGCAAGGGAAAATATTTTTAAATAGACTCAAACTCAGTCAAACAACAGAATTACAGTTGGAAATAAACCAAGAAGAGCTGCGTTCAGATTCCAAGTGGGCTACTAACTTGCTCTTCAACCTCAAGTAAGTTTTTCTTTTTTTTTTTAAGATTTTTATTTACTTATTTGACAGAGAGACAGCGAGAGAGGGAACCCAAGCAGGGGGAGTGGGAGAGGGAGAAGCAGGCTCCCCACTGATCAGGGAGCCCGATGCAGGGCTCCATCCCAGGACTCTGGGATCATGACCTGAGCCGAAGGCAGATGCTCAACGACTGAGCCACCCAGGCGCCCAAATAAGTCAGTTTTTCTCTCTCAACTTCTCCGAATTCAAAATGAAGTGTTCCAAGTGCACAATTTCTAACATTTACTATAAAAACTGATTTGCAAAAGGGGGGGGAGGCAAGTTTGGAAACTACCCCTTCCTGGTTTACCCACTTAACAGCTCTGGACCACAATTTGTTCATAAGCGAAAGGTGGATGAGATGCATTTCTGAAGTATGCTTACTGATCTAAGAAAGTTTTTACTTCTCCTTCACTTTTGAAGGATAATTTTGCCAGCTATAGAATTCTAGGTGAATGGGGGTTTTCTTTCAACATTTTATTACTCCACTTTTCTTGAATGTTCCTGAGGAGTAGTCAGCTATAATTCTTTGTCTTTTCTGTAAGATTTTTTCTTCTTCTGGCTTCTTTCAAGATTTTCTCTGGTTTATGCAGTTTGAATAAGATATACCTACATACAGATGGGGCGCCTGGGTGGCCGGGAATGTTAAGCCTCAGCCTCTTGGTTTCCACTGAGGTCACCGTCTCAGGGTCCAGATATCTCAACCCTGAGTGGGGCTTGGTTCTCAGCGGGGAGTCTGCTTGAGATTCCCCTCTTCCTCTGCCCCTCCCCCAAGCACACTTTCTCTCAAATAATCTTTTTTTTAATTTTATTATGTTATGTTAGTCACCATACATTACATCATTAGTTTTTGATGTAGTGTTCCATGATTCATTGTGTGTAACACCCAGTGCTCCATGCAGAATGTGCCCTCCTTAATACCCATCACCAGGCTAACCCATCCTCCCACTCCCCTCCCCTCTCTCAAATAATCTTAAAAAAAGATATACCTATGTATAGACATTTGATATTTATCCTACTTGATATTGATCCTACTCTGAGCTTCCAGGATCTGTCATTAATTTTGGAAGGTTCTCAGCCATCATTACCTCAAATATTTCTTCTCCCTTCATTCTTTTTTTTCTTCTGGTGTTCCAGTTACATATATTACATCTTTTGAAATTGTCACATTGTTTTCGGATATTTTGTTCTGGGTTTGTTTTTCATTCTTTTCTCTCAGCATTTCAGTTAGGGAAGTTTCTATTGACCTATCTTCAAGCTCACTGATTCTTTCCGCAGTTGTGTCCAGTTGGTTGATGAGCCCTTTAAAGGTATTCTTCATTTGTTAGTGTTTTTGATTTGCTAACATTTCCTGTTGACTATTTCTAAGAGTTTTCTTATCTCTGCTTACATTACCCATATGTTCTTGCATACTATTTTTTATCTTGAGACTCTTTAATATATTTATCAGTTATTTTAAATTTCCTGTCTGATAATTCCAACATCTGTGTCATAGAAATCTGATGCTTGCTGTGTCTCATCAACTGTGTTTTTTTTTTTTTAATTGCCTTTTAGCATGCTTAAAATTTTTTGCTGAAGGCCCAACAATATTGGCTGTATTGGATAATAGGAACTTAAGTAAATGAACCTCTAGAATGAGGATTTATGTTAATCTGGCTAGGAGTTGAGTTGTGTTTAATGTTTGCTGTAGCTGTAGGTCCAGAGGCTTCAAATTCCTCTAGTGTCGGGGAGGGGGGTGGGAGGATGGGTTAGCCTGGTGGTGGGTATTGAGGAGGGCACATTCTGCATGGAGCACTGGGTGTTATGCACAAACAATAAATCATGGAACACTTCATCTAAAACTAATGATGTAATGTGTGGGGATTAACATAAGAATAAAAAAAAAATTCCTCTAGTGTCTTTGTGGTGGTAAGGTGTGTGGGGGGGGGGGTGGGAAGCATTCTATAATCCGATGAAATCTCAGTATTTAGTGGGCCTGTGTCTTTGGGCTGTGACCTTCACAAGTATTTCTTTCTTTTTTTTTTTTAAGATTTTTATTTATTTATTTTAACAGAGATAGAGAGCACAAGCAGGCAGAGCGGCAGACAGAGGGAGAGGGAGAAGCAGGCTCTCCGCCGAGCAGGGAGCCCGATGCGGAGCTCGATCCCAGGACCCAGGGATCATGACCGGAGCCGAAGGCAGCGGCTTAACCGACTGAGCCACCCAGGCGCCCCTGGTATTCTTAATCTCATTCTCTGATATTATAATAAAAAAATAAATAAATATTCTTAATCTCATTCTGTGATATTATAATAAATAAATAATTTATATATATATATATTTGTGGTCTTTCTTCCTGACTCATGAAACCCTTGTAATTTCCCTAATGATAATATAGGAGCATCTTTTATTTCTTTAAGATTTTATTTTTAAGTAATCTCTATACCCAACGTGGGGCTGAAACTCACAACCCCGAGATCAAGACTCACATCCTCCACTGACTGAGCTGGCCAGGTGCCCCCGGGAGCATTTTTTGTCATAATATCTGGGTTTTGTCCCTGTTCCTGAATTAGCTCTGGAGAGATAAAGATGAAAAGAGCATCTTTTGTTATCATAATAAGCCCCCTTTAACCACACCAGTTAATGCAAATGAGGGGGCTTTTGGAAACCCCCTAAGGATGGGGGATTGGTTGCCACAGATGATTAGTTGGAATTTTCAGCCCCAGCCCCCTAACCTCTGGGGAGGGGAAAGGGGCTGGAGGTTGAGTTAATCACAAATGGCCAATGATTTTAATCAATCATGCCTATGTAATGAAGCCTCCATTAAAAATACCCTAACCATGGGCATCTGGGCGGCTCAGCCAGTCGGTTAAGCATCCGCCTTCGGCTCAGGTCATGGTCCCAGAGTCCTAGGATCGAGTCCCGCATCGGGCTCCTTGCTCAGCAGAGAGCCTGCTTCTCCCCCTCCCTCTGCTGCACCCCTGCTTGTTCTCTCTCTCTCTAATAAATAAAATCTTTTTTAAAAAATACCCTAACCAAAGGGGTTGGGAGAGCTTCTAGGAGGATGAACACATCAGTGATAGTGCAGGGAGAGTGGTGCAGAGGGCATGGAAGCTCTATGCCCTGTATTCTATATCTTGCCCTATGCATCTCTTCTATCTAGTTGTTCCTAAATTGTATTCTTTTATAATTAACCAGTAATCTAGCAAGCCATTATAGCAAATTATCAAACTCAGGGAGAGGCTTGTGGGAACCCTGGCTTATAGCCTGTGAGCTAGAAGTACCAGAGACTTACACTTGTCATTGGCATCTGAAGTAGGGGGCAGTCTTGTGGCGCTGAGCCCTTAATGTGTGGGATCAGGTGCTAACTCCAGATAGTGTCAGAACAGAGTTGAATTTGTAGGACACGCAGCTGGTGTCAAAGAATTGGTTGGTGTGGGAAAACCCCATATACATTTAGTGCCAACGTGTGTGAGTTGGGGCATCTAGGTGGTGCAGTCAGTTAAGCATCCCACTGTTGGTTTCAACTCAGAAACGTCCTTCCCTGGGTAGGATTAGACTTTGGTACAGTCTTTTCCCCTGAGGAATGCTCAGAGTTTATTTTACAAAGATTACTCTTCCCCTTCCCCTGCCAGAGCCACCAGGGAATCTTTCTCAGCAATTAGCTGTGAAAACCAGGTGGGGTTCCTGGAGGTAAAACCATAAAGGTGTGCGTGGTGTCCCTTGGGCTGTGGCCCCCAGGAGTTCCTTACTATCCAGTGCTGGTCCACACTCAGCCTCCCACATTCCAACAGTGTGTTCCTACCAGCTATGGCTCCAGTGGCTTCTGCTCCAGGTGACTCTCCAGATTTCAAGGCAGCAGTTTGCCCTGCACTCAGTTCTCTGATGCGTCCAAGGAGAGTCATTGATTTTCTTTGTCCAGCTTTCTCTTGATGTAAGGACAGGAGTGACAACTTCAAAACTCCTTGTGTGCCTGACCTGAAACCAGAAGTCCTTTCTGAAGTGGGGTGTTTATTTCCCTCTCTGAAGTATTTTAAAAACTGTGCTAGGCTGCTGAAGAGTTTCAGGCAGAAGTTTTGATCTTAAAGTCCACAGAAGGCACTTCCTATGGATGAAATGTCCCTTCCCACATTAGAAACATGAGTGTCCATATACAACACAGGCCACAGTGCTTGGGCACTCCCGCTGTGCCTGACCCAGGTGGAACCCCTCTTGCTACTTAGGGCAAAGCGAGTCAGGCAGCCCAGGCTTTATTTAAATCCTTATTCTACCACTGACAGGCTGTGTGACCCCCTGCCAGGCTAACCTCTCTCAACCTGTTTATCTGCCAGATAAATACCCGAGTAACTACCGCACAGGCCTGCTGGCAGAGCTAAAAGGGGAATATGTGAAAAGGTCGCACAGCCTGGCACAAATGGCAGCTGTAAGGTTCCTCAACCTCTCTGAGCCTCAGTTTCTTCTAGCCTGAAATGAGGTTGATAGGATCGTTAAAAGGTCTTGCACTACTCTGGTGTGAAACAATTCATCTGATCAACACTGCAGGAATAACTGGGGATAAGGGCAGAAGTGGAACCCACATTTACCCCATTAACAGCCTAGTGACCTTTTGTCCAGAGGCCTCAACCACACAGTTAACATAGGAGCTGGGGCTATCTTCTGATATTCAGATGATAATCAAAGGGAGGGGCCAGAGATGTTATCTGGTAATTCTCTTTCAATACACATGCACATACACACACATACACCCAACCACTAACATGTTAGTTTATTTTTTAAAAAAGGTTCCAATACAAGGCCCCAGAGTAGTGCATGCAAACAATGACCCTCAAGCTGTCATTGTCAGATGACCAGTACAATCTGCTTCGATAGTCTGTGACCTGGTAAAGAGACCAGCTTCTCTGAGTACCAAGGCCTAATTATGCCAATTTATGTCCAACCTACCACCTGGTACATGATGACTCCGAAGTACACTTTAGTATCCGAACAGCAAAGACACATTGAGCTGCAAGTACAATGAGTAAGTGTCCTTAGTGTATTAGACATGGAAAAATACAAACAAGGCGTAAAAAAGAAAAGCCAACTTCATTTGATGCCTGAATTCCCAAAGTCTCTTCCATACATGACCTAGGCCTAGGGATATTTGCCAATGCTGCATCAGGAACTTGCTCATTTTCTCGTGAGATGGAGCTGTTTGCCTTGAAGGACTGCAGGAAGAGTGAAATACTCACATCAGGTAAGCACTTGAAGCTGTGGCTGCAATTCATAGGCCATCTTTATCTACCCTGACGATAACCCATCTCTGTAAATCCAACTTTGTGCTGTGTGAATTCTGGGAAATGTTAGGGATAGAGAATTCTAATTCCGGTCAGGCCTATGACTATAGGAGAATATAGCCATGGAAGAATTCATGGAAGAATACACCCATGGAAGAATTCAATCACATCAGAAGGTTTTAGTTTGGTTTAGTATATTCAGTGTTTTTTGTTTTAAGTTTAAAAATAATGTTTCTTATATGTGTGGTTCTTAATGCTCTTAGTTACTTACAGATTGCTACCTGGGTTGACTTCAGGAAAAGGTATGTTCAGTAAACTAGTCTGAATTGAAATCACTAGCTAATGAAGAGATATATTCTCATGAGAAAAGTATTTATGATGGAAAGCAGCATTTAGCTTCCGGAACTACCTGCTTTTTGGTGCAGAGTGTCGTCCTCTTCGATCAGAGAGCAATGACAGACTAGCAGTAGGAAGCATGCCAGCCAGCCACGAAACCCTCCACAACGACAGCAGGAAGGGCATGAGAAGGAAGAAAGATGCCTTACCAGGCAATACTTTAGATACCTGGTTGTCAACTTCCCAACCACAATAATCAACAAGGCTGGGAACTTGGTTGACATTAGTAATCCACTCATATTCCTTTGTGAACAGAACCCCAACGCAAAGCATCCTCCACACACCCTCCACCCATATCCCATTCCCACACCTCTATGCAAAATCTTTTCATTCAGCCCAAAGATCCAACAGATGCCAAAGAAATGTGAATAGTGTCAACAAAAATACAGACTACCTTTACACCACAGTTCTTCAAACATTCTCAAGACCAACAAGGGTCTTCCCAGAAGGTAACAAAATGAATCTCAGCTCTCACACCAGTAATCAGTGAAAGGATGACCCATAGTTAGTTAAGGGGTATAAAGTGACTAGTGGTCAGTTATTGTTCTTTAATCAGAAACCCCTAATTGCAGGAACTCTACCTAGAGCTGAGCACACTTGAGTATCATGATGTCAGACATCAGTTAAAGCACCAGAGCTAAATTAACAATTTCCCTTTTTGCCCTTAATTGATGAAGAGTTCAAGTACTGCGGTGCTACTGGAATGATCCTGGATTGTGCCTCTTCAAACACTTCCGTTTCTTAATACTAAACATTGGTAGGAAAATACCCCACTGGTGCCCCCGGTCAGGACAGGATGAACCAAAAGGGAAGAAGGCTAATCAACTAGCCCTGAAAATCATTTTATCTTTTGACTCAGGGAAGCTTCCATTCTCCTGGCAATGTTCCACAAAAGCTTCCTGATTACCAATCCTAAATTATAGACTGGGCCCTCTGAAAAAGCCCAAGTCAGAGTAATTTCACCAAAGTTCTAGAGGGAGCTTTTGCTGGGGACAGACAATTGTTCCATCAGTCATTCAGAGCAACATTTGGGTAGACAACTCTGCTCCCAAATACTACTGCCTCCATCATCCGAAAAGTTCACCACTCCTATTTTCTAAATAGACCATGGTCAGACCCAGTGATCCCCCTGCACTGACGTTTAGCCTCCTGAAAGAGACAAACAAGGACTTAAACTGACAGGGAAATGCCCTGGTAAAACATCACCCCCCCATCACCCCCTCTTAAAAAGAGGTGCTGGGCTCTCCTGGGTCTAAACTACTGGCTTCATAGCAGTAGCTCCCCCTTCTGCCGCACAGGTGGGATGTACCCAGCAGGGTAGAGGAAGCCCCAGGTGAAAGAACCCACAGCCTAGGGGGACAGACTTCTGTCAGACCAGAGTAAGGTTTAAAGGAATCCATCGAGTCTGTCTTGGCCAAAGAAAGTGCCCTATATAATACTGCATCAAGACCAAAGACTAGGCAGGAGCAAGTGGACACACGAGGGCTGCCCAAGAGAACTGCCTTTAGTTCTACTCAGTAATGAAAATTTAAAATCCCTTCTAAAGGGAAAACCCGATTCAAAAAAACAAAAACAAAAAATATTTTTTAAAAAGCCCAGGAAATACAGCAAATGAATGCTGATTCTTCCTGTTCTGGTTTCCACTTTATTATTCAACTGTAGTGGAAAAACCTCCAAGTGCACAGCACGAAACAGCAGATTCCCTGCCCTAACCTGTGTGCATCTTAGTTGTCACCCTTCCTCCTTCCCCACTGGGCCCACCAGCCCTGTCCTGCTCCACAGGCTCCTGCCAGGCCCTGGGCCCAAAGATGCCCCGTCCACAGTCAGTGGGGTCAGTCGGTGCCCCCCTTCTGTTTGGCCAGGGTGCGCTTCAGCTCCCTCAGGTTCTCTGTCAGCACTTCCACCTCATCCAGGCGGCCACACTGCTTGGCATCAAAAATGTACGCCTTGATGTTATCAATCTGCTGGAGGAGGAGCTCCTCCTCTATGGGCTCCTCGCCCTCTGGCCCACTGTCACTGTCCATCTCAAAGGGGTTACCAGGAACAGGAGGGCTTGAGGGCCTCTGGTGGGGATGCTCATCTTCCTCATCAAAGGGGTTGGGCGCTGAACTATCTGGGTTAGTGAAGGGATTCCCTGCGACAGCCTCCTCTTCTTCTTCCTCAAAAGGATTGTATTCTTTGAGGATGGAGACTGAAGGGCCAAAGGAATGCTCTGCGGCAGGAGGGCTGGTAGTGCCCCCTGCTGTGGGGCTGGAGGGGTCTTCCTCATAGAAGGGGTTTAGGGAGGCCAGCTCATTTTGCTGTGAAATCATGCTCTGGGGGAAGAATTCCTGGCCAAGGGCTGGGGGTCCAGACCACACTCTGGCTGGCTCGAGAGCTGAGCTGGGCGCAGGGGGCTCCGCAGCTGCACTGCTCTGAACTGAGGAAGAGCCTAGATCCAAAGCATAAGCAAGGTGGGTACGAGGCTCCCTGCCAGGCTCCAGCTGAAAAGGCCTGATTTCTCGGAAGTCCAGGGACCGAGTCCGTGTATGTAGGGACGCGGCCCGGAATTGCTCCCTCTCTCGTTCCCACTCCCGTTCACAAAGCCTCTGCAGCTGTTCTCGCTGCAGGTCCTCCTCCTCGGCCTGCCTCCGGGACAGCTCAATGGCCTTCTCCGTCTGCTGCTGGTCATACTCATCCTGCAACTGCCGCAGGTTTTCCTGCAGTGTGCGCACTTCGTCTGTCCGCCCGGCAGCCTTGGCCTGCCTAATAAATGATGTGATGTTGTGGATCTGCTGGAGGAGGGGGTCCGAGTCTTCACTCTGCCCCAGACTTCCTGACAGCGGGAGCCAGCCCTCAGCCTTTCTCAGGGGGGCAGGTCCCCCTCGAAGGGACACCACCTCCCCGTTGGCCGCACGAGACGCCAGGTCACTCCGCCTTTCCTCAAACCGTTGCTGGGATTCCAGGACAACCTGGGGAGACATCAAAGCCAAAGAGAAGAAATACAGTCACCAGGCCAACAGCAGCCACACCATCAGCCACCCCTACAGTCCCACTGTCCCTGTGCTGATGAGACTCCAAATGCCCACCTCAGGACTAAGGTATCCAACTGCTAAGTCAAATCATGCTTTTGGTTTTAGGGGAAAGAAGGGACAGAGCCTGATTTTCAAAACTAAATTAATGACAGGGCGCCTGGGTGGCTCAGTCGTTAAGCGTCTGCCTTCGGCTCAGGTCATGATCCCAGGGTCCTGGGATGGAGCCCCGCATTGGGCTCCCTGCTCAGCGGGAAGCCTGCTTCTCCCTCTCCCACTCCCCCTGCTTGTGTTCCTGCTCTCGCTATCTCTCTCTGTCAAATAAATAAATAAAATCTTTAAAAAAAAAAAAACCTAAATTAATGACAGTAACTTAAGGGATAAGATTTTCTCAATTTTAGATTCGCTGGCCATAGGCTTGTCTTAAACCTCTGAGGTCTAGTATCACTCATCCACACTAGACTCTCACACGATATTAAATGCGCACATTATTTTGATTAGTGTTGCATATTCCAAAGCATTCTACAAAGAGCTCCCTGGTATCTGGGTCCTCTGCAACCTGTGCTACAGGGAGAACTGGCAGCCTCCATGGTATTCTGGACGAGAAAAAATCAGCACGATCTCTGAAAGGCAAATAGGTCTGACCTGGGAAGAAAAATAACTATTCTGAGTCTACAGAGGAGAGGCCAGAAACGAACAGAAGAGAGATGCAAACCAGACAGCACTGAGTTCTGATTTAACATGATCTCAAAGAGGGCCGCTTGGGAGCCTGGGGCGGCCTCTGGGCTCAAGAGGCCGCCAGCATCCCTGCGTTTCACTTGCCTGTCTCTCCAGGATCCTCTTCCTCTCCATTTCCTGTTTCCTTTTCTTTTTCAGTTCCTCAAACTGTTCTCTGGTTGGCAGTGACATCAAACCCAGCAACTTTTCCTGTAGGGAGTCATGGACAATTTTGTATTTAAATCCTTTTAGGAAGAAAATGAGCCTAATGAAGTCTGTTTGTAAGATTCTATCCAAGCCCCACACCCCCGCTACCCCCTCCCTGCTCTAGGTTTTTCCACAGCACTTTTCACCATCTTAGAAATTCTATATTGTAGTTGGTTTTTGTCTATCTCCTTCCAAAAAAAAGCTTTATGAGAACAGGAATGTCTTTTTGTTCATGTCAGGACACGCAGCACCTAGCACATTGCCTGGTACACAGTAGGCACTCACCGAGTGACTGCTGAATACAACACTAGTCAAAAGGAGAAGGGGCCTAATTCTCTGCAACACGGTGTTGGAAAACTAACCAAACAGAGCTCGCTCTGTCATTAAGCCCAGATGTGGTTCACTGTGGCTCTCCCAAGGGGTGTTCTAGGTAGAAGCAACTCAGCTCTAACCACCCAGGGTTAGTCTGCCTATGAACAATCAGCTGTTTCCTCCCAAGCAATGGCCCAGGAAGAGTCCCTCGGGAGCTTATCCTGAGGAAGAAATGGCATGTATCAGTATGTCTGTCAGGCTGTACTCACACTAGCAAAAAGCAAGAATCTATCAGATGCCCAATGAAAGGGGAATAATTAAATAAAGGATGGTGCACAGAAAGTCGTATTCTGCAGCCATTCAAATAGTAACTATTTAAATGAAGACTACGTAAGAAGTGCTTATGATATAAAATTCAGTGTTAAAAAGAGAAGACATAAATTTGTAACTATGCACTAATCATAACTACTTTATATAACAAATGCAAATGAAAATAAAGGGAGGAAAATATACCAGAATGATGTGTAATAGTATTGGGGACAAAGGATTAAGAAGTTTTTACTTTTCTCTGTAATTCAGATTTTTCTCTAAATGTGGCATAATTATATTTACAATTTTAAAAAATAATAAATGTACAAACAGAGAACAAACCATTGGCATGGTCTGCCTTCTGAGAGGCAGAAAAGCAGGGGAAGCAAATGAGACGTTTCTTTGAGAAATGAGACAGGATGGCTTTACCTGCACAAACAGCGTAGCTGAGTATCTGATCATCCTCTGCAGCCGCAAAGTGTTTGGATGTGGTGGAGGGTCCTGGTTCAAGCCTAAGGTTAAGATCTTCTTACTGAATTGAAACAAACACATCGATGTAACAGGTGCTGCCAGCCCCAGAAACAAGGGTTAAATCTCTGAGTTGCCGGGCTTTTGTGCCAGGACCATCCGCGGAGGAAGCAGGTTAAAGACTCCACAGAATGTCCTTGAAGGCAAAGCCCATTCCTTACCCTCTGGTTGTACCCAAAGCCCCTGACACAGCACAGGGTGTCTAACCAACACTCAGCCATCGAGGAACCGACCACACATGCAGGGCCAACTTCATGGGTGAGTGACCCGTGCCTGGTTTAATATTCTGGTGTCACTGTCTTAAAATTCTTTTTTTTTTTTTAATGGGAGCAGGGCCTGGGGGGCCAGTGAGGGACTCCCCGGGCCCCTGGAGTGGGCTGAGGTGGGAAAGGCAGGAAGCAACTGGCTTTGCCAGGCTGGTACACAAGCTGAAACTGGGCCAGGGGGTTTGTGGACAGTGCTGGGGGCAACACTGGGCAGCAGGAGGCCACAGCCACTCCAAGACCCACATCTTAAAATTCTTAATAATTCTTGCTTTTTCATTTTACCCTAGGTCCCACAAATTACATAGTCAGTCCTGCACAGATGGATGGACAAGGCCTCCTCATCTCAGTTCTCCCTCTGAATCACTATGCTTTCTATACCTCAAAGGGCTGATTTAACCCCAACAGCCAGTCCATGGTTAAAAAGCCGCTGTTGACTTGAAGAAAAAATCTGAGTTTCTATCCTGGCTCCACCGCTTTGCTAGCTGTGATGCATCTTCTCACCTACAAAGTAAGGGTATTAATCCCCACCACCCGGCTAACTTGGTTGAATAAATGAGATGTGGATACAACCAATGGCTGGTACAAAGATGGTGTCAATAATCAGTTCCTACTTCTTTAATAATGATGAACATTAGAAATCTTAACCAAGTTACTGAGATGTGGTGAGTGCCAGAGCCGGCACCTACCTCAGCCTGTTCCTCACACGTACTCTCTGTCACCAGGACTCTGGGTAAGCTCGGGCCCGACAGCCACCCTCCCGCCCCACTGAAACCGCATCTCCTCCACTCAAGGCAGCAAGTCAGACATCACCTAACAGGCCTTACCTTAAAGCATCTATGAGCTCGTACACTTTCTGCACTTCCACTCGAAGGTCACTGGCATGTTCCAGGCTGTAGGTTGTCTCCCCAGCACTAAGGAAAAATCACGGAAATGTTTGATTCAAGTTTCACCTCTAAAGGTTTAGGGTCTTACAAAGGGAGACACAGCTAATTCTCTCCAAGTGGTATTATTTCACACTCTTGTATATAATGCAGGGCTCATTCCTTTAAGTGCTAATCAACTGGAAGCTGCTTTTAATTTGCAGACGCCACAGGAGCAGATTTGTGCCTAGGCCTTTAAGGACTAGCTCTTACGCTCATCACCAAGATAAATGCAAATGAACTACTTCAACCTACTTTCCCTAAACAATTTCACTATACCTAGTAAGACATATGAAGTGGTTTACTAAATAAGCTGGTTACCCTATATCCCAGGAGAAAGCAGCTGGCTTTTCTCACTCAAACACTACCCCCAGGGAGAAAAGGAACAATGAGAAAGCTGACCAAGGAAACCCCAACACCTAGCAATACCCAGCACAGCATCGTATCGATTGCCAATGCTCCTGGGCCTCATTAACAATTGCTCCCTACATGAGAAAAGCACTTTGACACCAAATCAAGCAGGGAGGAGACAGGGGATAACTGCCCAGGGTGGAGCAGGGGGCTGCAGGGAAGGTCAGAGATGGCTTCATTCCACTTAACTCAGAGGAACAGCAGCAGTTATTATGTGATCTTAGAACTGTTCATTTACAAGTGTGTCACCCCGTCAGGCCTGAAATGCAAGGGCAATGATGATGGCTTATCATTTTTATCCTCAGTAACTAGCACATGGCCAAGCTTCGTCAGTGCTCACTGAAAAGAAAAACACTTCAGAAGATCTTGCAGCTGTTAATGCAGCCTCAGCAACGGCCACTCGGCTCCCTTCCTGAGGCATCAGCAATTTAAGTTAAATAAGCAGAAAGGACTGCTGCGCTGACCTGGTTTACCATCTACAAGACAGCCCTAGCTGGAAAAATCTTGGTGTGTGCTGTAATTGGAGGATCCTATTGGATGTTGGCTTCATCATCTCAAACCGCATAGTTTGCAAAAAGAACATCAGACCAGAATTAGGAATGCTTGCACTTTGTCTTGATATCTCGAAGTCACATGGAAAATAACACGGTTGGCTCAAATCTGAAAGCACCCTCCCCCCCAACCCCCACCCCTGGTCTCAGTCTCAACCACACATATTCCCCACAGAGCCCCTATCACGTCTGGAGTTATCTTGCTCATGATTTGTTCACTTGATTATGGCTGTGTTCCCATGGTAATGAAGCTCCAGGGCAGTGGACACAGTCTGCACTGTTCATTGCTACATCCCCAGTACCTCAAATAGTATTGGCACATAACTAGTGTTCAGTAAATACCCACAGAGTGAGTGAGGGGGGAAAATGTGCTCAAAGCCCTTTAGAACCAGTCTTTGGAGAGCGAGTAGGAGTTAGACATCTGGAAATGTGCTCAGCGATGGTAGTTTCCCAGCTGGATGGGGAGGCCCAGTGACCCACAGCTGCGTCTGAGGCACAAAGCAAGAAAAACAACAGACTCAGGGGAAGGAGCCCCCTGGGTAATGACGTCATGAGGGAAAGTTGAGTGCCAGCTCAGACTGCCAGGAACACAGTTCTCCTTGCTGACATCCAGGAAGAAGATAGTCCTGCTCTAATTTCAGACCAGTGGGCACAGGTGGGAGGAGGGATGTTGATTCCAGTAAGTTCCAGGTAGGAAAAGAACATGAGACAGGTGCTACAAGCCAAGGATTCTCCATTTAGGGGAGGTAGATATCAGAAGCACTTGAGCTGCTTCTCCCAGCCTACTCACAGGGAGGCTATATGCTCCATTGATTGAAATTATTGCTCAGTGAACTGCAGGTAGAAAAGAAAACGTGTCCTTTCCTCCTGTTTTTCAGAACCAGTGCTCTTGGAATGAAAAGAGGAAGAACGGGGTATAGAAAGTGCAAATATAAGGGAAGAGAGGCCCTAGGACTGTTGTGGCTGAGAGGGCTGGAGAAACAGGGTGTCCTCCCCTTATCCGGTCTGCTGCCAGGGGCTGCAGACACCCAGTTGCTAGGATTGGAGGAAATGGGGGTGGTCTACAATGGTTTCCCTACCTCTTTTCTGTTCCCTTCCCACCTCTTTCCCCTCCCCATGGGCTGGCATACACTGGGGGAGGGAACAGGAACTGGAAGAAGAGCCCCAGAGCAAGAGTAGAGGCAGGGAGACATGCAAGAGAAGGGGTGTTTTGCCACAGACCAACCATGTTTAGCCGTTCATATTTTGTAAGTCAGACATTTACAGACTCCTAAGTTAGGAAACTCCTTAAGGACCATGTAAATGAAAAAGTTCATTTTCTTTTCATGTGAGATTCACATCATAGACTTAGAATGTGGTCACTGCCATCATGAAGGAAAAGCCAAGCTTTGTGTTTTTTGTTTGTTTTTAAGTAGGCTCCATGCCCAACATGGGGCTTGAACTCATGACCCTGAGATTAAGAGTCACATGCTCTACTGACTGAGCCAGACAGGTGCCCCAAGCTTTGTTTTGTGGAGACAATATAACACATTGCCACAGTAAATGGGCAAATAAAAATACAGGTTTGTTCTAAACAAGGCACATTTAATTCCACATGCATCACTACAAAGGTGGCAGGTGGGCAATACAGGCTTAAGACAAAGGCCGATAATCCTCACATAGAGAGCACACAACTGTTTTTCTGCAGATTGGGAAAAGACTTGCTGCGATCTGATTCTAGTGGTAGCACTTCAAATTCTAGCTCACGTATCACTAACCTGCAGAAGGAGCAATGCTCTTAAGAGAGTGTCAGCATATTTTTTCTGCAAAGGACCAGATAATAATATTTTTAGCTTTGCAGGCCAGATAGTCTCTGTCACAAATGTTCAACTCTGCTGCTGTAGTTGTAGTTTGCAGTTAAAATCAAACAAATGGGCATGGCTATGCACCAGTAAAATTTTATTCATTAAAAAAATGGCAATAACAAGCATTGGCAAGGATATGGAGAAACTGAAACGCACATGCATTGCTGGCGGAAATGTAAAGTGGTGCAGTCATTTTGGAAAACAGTCTGGCAGTGCCTCAGAAAATTTAAAATCTAGAGTTACCATATGACCCAGTGACTCCACACCTAGGTATAAACCCAAAAGAAATAAAATTATATGTCCACAAAAAAACTTATACAGGAATATTCACTGAAGCATTATTCATAATAGCGAGAAGTGGAAAAACCCAAATGTTCATCAACGGACTAATGGGTACACAAAATGTGGTCTATCCATACAATGCATTTGCACGAGTGGAATGGAACGCTAACACGTGCCGCCACGAGGGTGAATCTTGAAAACACTACACTATGTGAAAGAAGCCAGACACAAAGGATCATGTATTTATATGAAATGTCCCAAAGAGGTGAATCCATAGACAGAAAGCAGACCAGTGGTCACCAGGGAGAGGGGAAATACGCAATGACTAGTAATGGGGGTGGGGTTTCTCTGGATGATAAAAATGGTTTGGAATTAAGACAGCAATGACGGTTGAATGACTCCGTGAAGAACCACTGACCTGTACACATTAAAAGGGTGTGTAAATTATTAACTTTTTTGGTGTGTAAGTTATATTTTAGTTAAAAAAAGAAACAGATGGCAGGTTAGATTTGGCCCATGGGCTGAGGTGTGCCAACCCCTGTTCTAAAGGAAATGCCTGCTCTAAGCCTGAAGCAGTAGCCCCCCTCTCCCGCCCCGGGGCAGGCACCTGAGGCACACTGTCCTTGCTCACCTCCAGATGCCACACTCGGCAGCGGTGCCTACTGTCTGAGGCCCTTCCCTAACCTGCTCCATCAGAACTGGGGCCCCTTGAACATGGCTACCAGAGGACTGTAACACGTGCCACACAGAAATACAGACATGATAAAGACTCTCCACAGTTGGTCACAGAAGAAAAGCAGCCAGAATTAAGATTTTCATTTTCAGCTACTGAGGAGCTACGCTAAAGTGCCCACAAACAATCGTCACTGAATTAGAAAAACTGAGGAATAGCTTACTTTAATGATGCTGCCATCCTGATGTATTCGGGAGCTTTTTGGTCAACTTTCTCCATGCAAAGTCGTAATTTCTAAGAACAAAACAAAAGAGGTGAGCGGTGCTCTCAAGGTACAAAACAGTTATGCTGCATCAACAGAGACGTATTTTAAATGTACAATTTCCGGGGCACCTGGCTGGCTCAGTCGGTAGAGCATGCAACTCAATCTCTGGGTTGTGAGTTCAGGCCCCACATTGGGTGTGGAGCCTACTTAAAAAAAAATTTTTTTTTAATGTACAGTTGGAAATATGCAGAGTGTTTTTTTGTTTGTTTTTATTGTTGTTATCAATTTCCTGATTTACAAACCTCCTTTACAAGCAGTAAATCTTGCAGGAAGGAAAAAAAGTGAGGGCAGAACTTTTGACAGGATGTTTTTGCAGGGAGCAAGGCCTTCCAGGACATAAGCCAGTGAGTTTACCAAGGCAGAGGAAAGGAACTGGTGGCTACATTCTCTCTCTGCCAGGTGATGAAAGATACTAGCAAACGGTACTGCCAGGGCTCACTTCAAAAATGAAGGAAGGAAAAAGCATTTACAAAAATGAGTTATCAGGTCATGAACTCCATACACAGGATGGGTAATGGCTACATCTGCAGCTCAGGGCTGGGTTTCATTAACACCATTTCTAGTAGTCTAAGTATTTTTCTGGTGATTCCAGAAATGCAGCCATTATGACCCACAGACTTGCTAACAGTGACCATTCAGCAATCAGCAGACAAATATACAGACGATCCCAGACTTACAATGGTTAGACTTCATGATTTTTCAACTTTACAATGGTGCGAAAGAGATACTCATTTAGTAGGAATGGAACTTGGAGCTTTGAGTGTGGATCTTTGCCCAGACTGGCGACATGCAGTAGGACACCTTCCCGTGACGCTGGGCGGTGGCAGCCGCCGCAGCTCCAGGCCAGCCGCGTGATCACAGGGTCAGCCGCCGATACCCTTAGGACCACCCTGTACTCACTCAGCCTTCTGCTTCTCACTTTCAGCACGGTATCCAGTAAGTTACACGATCCACTCAGCACTTTGTTATCCAACAGATTTGTGTTAGAGGCTTCTGCCCAACTGCACGCTAACGTCACTGTTCCCAGCACGGTTAGTGTAGGCCAGGCTGCCACACTATGATGTTTGGTATGTTTGGTGTATTAAAGACAATTTCGACTTGCGATATTTTCAACTCAGGATGGCTTTATCAGGACGTGGCCCCACTGTAAGTGGAGGAAGGCCCAGGCGCTCCTCTGCTCAGGGTTCTACATGCGCTGCTACCTCCACCAGGCTGATCTCCCCCTTCCCATCTCCCATCACCTGCTTATGAAACCTCCAGCTGGCTAATCCTTCTCAGCCTGCAGGTCCCCCCAGCCACTGGGAGTGAGGCAGACTCACTCCCCGTCTGACTCTGAATCCCCCGTTTTTGCACGACCCTATGTTCCTCTCAAAGTATGCATCTACTGAATGTGTTTTGGGATTGCTGGTGGTAATGACAGCTGAGGCATTTGAATGGACTTAAAAGGGAAGCTCTATGCCCATGGGCAGTCACTCAAACCTGTAAAGCCTGAAGCTCCCAAGTGAATTTCCCAGGACTCTTCTGGCCCACTGTTCATACCTGATCCAGCTCCACTACTCCTCATATGCAAATCCTGTCCACACCGAATGGCAACCATCCTTCCTCCTCTTGCCCCTGGGCCACCAAAGTCTCCAACCTCCTGCTTTCAAGTGGGCAAGGAGGGGTGAGGGAACAAGGTTGTTGCAACATACCCAGGATGACTCTGTGAATCACCCAGGGCCCTAGCTAGGAAACCGTACCAGGGCCCTTTAGCAGAAAGTAAAAATGATTCAAAGAACAACTTCCCAAAGCATTCTCCAAAATATGCAGGCATGCACATAACATGTAACAGCCAAATCTGCATCTCAAATCAGACCCAGGACCACACCCGGTGAGTCACCTCATAGAGCTTTACAATGTCGGGGGTGTGCTCCTTCTCATCAATCTGCTGCTCTCTCTTGAGCAGCGTGTCCTTGCAGTGTGTACAGCAGCGGATCCGGTCGTCATCCTTTTCATCCAGGACGGAGCTTACACTGCTCACGCTGCTGATACTGCCCCGGCGGGAGCCATGGACACTGTTGGGTGACTGGCTGGGGCTGGTGTGGGTGCTCAGGGAATCTCTGCTGGCACTGGTGAGCTTGTCTGTAAAGCACAACACAGGACAGGTGGCAATGAGCCCGCAGCATCCCATCACCCCACCGCTCACAACAGAGGGGAGGCCACAGGTGCTGATGCAGGCTCGTCTATGGGCAAGAAGCACCACACCTTCGCCTTCCTGGGGTCAGGCTCTGTGGTGGGAGGGACTCCCAATGCCAGCCAGGAAAAAGCCAGACAGCCTAGGAAGGTCTCTCTCTGAGGCTCTGAAGCCCATTCCTAGCCTGACCCAACACGATCCACATTCTCCCCAGACCGTCCTGACGGACTTCCCCACTCCCAAATACCTGACTCCTGCCCCTTCCAAGGCTCAGCTCAAATGGTCCATCCTTCTGGAAGCCCTACTCTATTCCTTGAGGCAAAGCAATATGCCCTTCCTATCAGGTCCCACCATGTCATCCCTCTTTGAGCACATTCCTCTCTTCTCCCTGCATGACAGTCCTACGTATACCCCGAGCTGCTCTGTGAATCTGGGAGGGTACGAACGGTCTTATTCATACCTGTACCCCAATATAGCCAACGGGGCTACCCCATAGCACCTGCCCAGTAAATGTTAATTAGCACAAGATAAGAAAGGTGAATAGTGTCTCAAAAGCATAGCTTACGAAGGCTCAGGTGAAACAGAAAGTCAGTTTCAGGGAGAACGGGAAGGTATCAAGGTAATGTGTGCCTGCCGGATGTCAGAACGGGACGGAGGAAGCATCTGCTTCCGTCCCACATTGTCCAGATGCTCCATAGCCAACAGCACATGCAGAGTCAGCGGAACTCCCCAGGGTTGCAAAACCACCTCAAATGTCCCAGAATTGGCCCAAAGCCCAAGAGATCATCTTTAGCAACTTTTAACCAGTTGAGACTCAAAGTTCTACACCCTCTGGTTCCACCTAACATTGTAGCCACCATCCCCATAATTCTCAAACGTGTCCTCTATACTCCCCCAACTATTCTATTTGCTCATTTACTAACCTTCCCCCAGGGAAGGGCCCTTTGCTCCTGCTCTGCACTCTACCCAGGATCCCTCCTGCCCTACCTCTTTGCAATCCTTGCTATCTTTTAAGGCTCTTCTCACACATCACCTCCCAAACCTGAGCATCCATGCTCTTGATCCCCCCAGCACTCAATGTCTCTCATATTATGATATTACAGTCTGTTCTATATGACAATAAACTGTGACTTTTATCTCAAAGGAAAGGACTAGCCTCCTGCTCATTTTTAAAGAACCTTTCTGGGGCGCCTGGGTGGCTCAGTCGTTAGGCGTCTGCCTTCGCCTCGGGTCATGATCCCAGGGTCCTGGGATCGAGCCCTGCGTCGGACTCCCTGCTCCGCAGGAAGCCTGCTTCTCCCTCTCCCATTCCCCCTGCTTATATTCCCTCTCTCGCTGTGTCTCTCTCTGTCAAATAAATAAATAAAATCTTTAAAAAAAATAAAAATAAAAAAAATAAAGAACCTTTCTTATAGTCTCCTCTCAAAGCCTCAGCTGCCACTTCCAAGCAGAGCTGACAACGATTTGGTCAGCTCTCCTGGGTGTCTGATGCAACTTCTCTCCTAATACTTATCTCTTTATAAAGCAATTATTTGTAAGTCTGTATCCTCTGCTAGACGCTAGACCCTTTGCAGAATGGACAATGCCTTATAAACCATAGGTGGGCAAACATGACCTGTAAACCAAGTCCAGCCTGCTTTTGTATGGCCCTTGAGCTAAATATGGTTTTAAAAAAGGTTTTAAACAACCTTTGTTGTTGTTTTGTTTTGTTTTTTAAAGATTTTATTTATTTATCTGAGAGAGAATGAGAGAGACAGAGAGCACATGAGATGGGGGAGGGTCAGAGGGAGAAGCAGGCTCCCTGCCGAGCAGGGAGCCCGATGCGGGACTCGATCCAGGGACTCCAGGATCATGACCTGAGCCGAAGGCAGTCGCTTAACCAACTGAGCCACCCAGGCGCCCACAACCTTTGTTGTTTAAAAAAAGAAGAAGAGGGGCGCCTGATTGGCTCACTCGTTAAGTATCTGCCTTCGGCTCAGGTCATGATCTCAGGGTCCTGGGATGGAGCCCCGCATCGGGCTCCCTGCTCAGCGGGAAGCCTGCTTCTCCCTCTCCCACTCCCCCTGCTTGTGTTCCCTCTCTCGCTGTCTCTCTCTGTCAAATAAATAAATAAAATCTTTAAAAAAAAAAAAGAAGAAGAAATGTCACAGAGACCATCTGTAGCCCACAAAGCTTAAACTATTTACTATCTGATCTTTTACAGAAAAAGTTTGCCAGCCCTTGTTATCCACCACTGTATCCCTGGACCCTAGCTAGCATCGTGCCTAGCCTATAGCAGGCTTCATGGAATCAGTAAATGAATGGATGAAGATCCCATGGGACATTCACTTAAACAAAAACGTTCAAAAAATCACCCACTAGTAATCAGCAAACAAGCCAGTCACAAGAAGAACAGGGCTAGGGCCCCACCTCCACATTACCTACTTGCAAAAGGGAGACTGATGAGCTCCATACACTTCTTGCACATAATAGACCCGCAGAGGCGGCAGTGGTGGCGGCGGTTACGGATGCTGAACTTATTCCCACAGTCCGGACAGAAAGGGACATCTTGGTCGTTGACCCAAGGCACCACAGACTTTTCTATTGCTTTGGGAAGAACAAAACAAAAATCAAACAAACAGAAAAGCTAGCCATTTTATTTTATTTTATTTAAAGATTTTATTTATTTATTTGACAGAGAGAGACACAGCGAGAGAGGGAACACAAGCAGGGGGAGTGGGAGAGGGAGAAGCAGGCTTCCCGCCGAGCAGGGAGCCCGATGCGGGGCTCGATCCCAGGACCCCGGGATCATGACCTGAGCCGAAGGAAGACACTTAATGACTGAGCCACCCAGGCGCCCCAAAGCTAGCCATTTTAAAAAGAGGTTTGGTCAGGGAGAAAGATAAATAGAGTGAATGTGAGCAAAATTCTAGAGTTACCTCGTATCTTAGCAGATTCAGTATTCGTTCTGTCAAATGCAGTGAGCTGACAAGGAGAAGACAGTGCCAAATGGAATTAAACAGGTGATGTACATACTTTCCACAGGCAAGAGGCATCAAGCAGGAATTCACACATCTTCACTTCTCAAGTCTCATCTGTCATCCCCAACCCCACAAAGTCACAAAAGCAACTTCACACTAGACAGAGTATTAGCTTGCATCTAGAAGGCAGCTCCCTTCCCCATGACCTGATTCCAATCTCGTCAGTTCTCCATTTATGCAATAACCAGAGGTAGGCAAGGATGTGGTGGGTGTGGCTACTGAAAGCAATGGGGAATTCCTGATTCTCCACGGTCCTCCTGGACAATGAAACCGGGCACATATTTCTGCCCTACAAAGTACACATCAAGAACTATACCTGCAGTTGCTACCATGCCCACCATAAAATCCAGGTTATACACAACAAGCATTTCTAGGGTCAAAGTAGAACAGAATGATTGTGGTGTGAAGACACACTCTGGTACCACAGGACAAGAAGGCCCAGTCCAGATATTCCCACACTGAATGCTGGCCCTGGATGAGTACTCCTCACAGACCTTGTCCCAAGCTTCTGTTTGTTATCGAGTATCACACACTATGTCCCACTGCATGACTGTACTTTGGACACCCAAAAGAGGAAATAATTTGAAAGCAGAAAGGTTTTCCAGCAGCCAAGTGGGCTTCAGAGGAAGGAAAAGGAAAGCTGGATATGAGGCATGTCTGTCAACCTGGGCCATCTCCTACAGTAAAACCAGCCCAGGCTAGAACTATCTACACCATGTCCTCTGCGCCTCTTAGGTGAGCTCAAGGTGGGGCGTTTCTCTGCCAGCATCCAATATATACAACACACCTAATACACACTGCAGAAATCTAATTTTTTCTCCCCCAGAAAATTTATACTTGCAGAAAAGAAAATGTTTTAAAACAACAAAATTTACCTTCTCTAACCTGATTATTAATTTATTGACTTCAACAACATAGTGGTCAATTCTGGCAGCTCGGTGTTTTTTGAAGTCAGAAAGATGGCTTCTCACAGCGCCTAGGACAGGAAATGGGGAGATGAATGACATGTTGTTTCTCTGAGAGAGCCCCTCTCCCTTGCTGCTTATCTTCAATGAATTTTATTTATTTTTTTTTACAGATGACCTTGTATTGTTTTAAGATTGTATTTATTGGGGCACCTGGGTGGCTCAGTCATTAAGCGTCTGCCTTCAGCTCAGGTCATGATCCCAGGGTCCTGGGATCGAGCCCCGCATCAGGCTCCTTGCTCAGCGGGAAGCCTGCTTCTCCCTCTCCCACTCCCCCGCTTATGTTCCTGCTCTTGCTATCTCTCTGTCAAATGAATAAGTAAAATCTTTAAAAAAAAAAAAAAAAAAAAAGATTGTATTTATTTATTTGAGAAAGAGACAGAGCACGAGTGTGGGGGAGGAACAGAAGGAGAGGGAGAGAGAATCCCAAGCAGACTCTGAGCTGAGCACGAGCCCAACACAGGGCTCGATCCCAGGACCCTGAGATCATCACCTGAGCCGAAAACAAGAGTTGGACGCTTAACCGACTGAGCCACCCAGGTGCCCCATCCTCAATGAATTTTATTTATTTTTTTTTTAAGATTTCATTTATTTGAGAGAGAGAGAGAGAGATAGCGAGAGAGAGCACAAGTGGATAGAGAGGAAGAAGCAGGCTCTCCGCCAAGCAGGAAGCCCGACATGGGGCTTGATCCCAGGACCCCCAAAATCATGACTCGATCCAAAGAGAGACACCCAACCAACTGAGCCACCCAGGCGCCCCTTCAATGAGTTTTAAACACAAGTAGAAATTCAACGAGTTTAGAGTCTTACTAAAAATTCAAAGACAAGCAAATGGAAACAAATTTGCTAAAATGTTAACCACAGTTACCTTGGAAGCCATAAAGAGCAATACAAGAGACCTCAGAGTATGGTGGAGGAGAGCCTGGACTGGAGCCTGCCTGTGCTCAAATTTCAATTCTGCCACACACTGTGTGACCTTGAACAAGTTCCTTAATGTCTGTGTAACTTGGGAGTACTCCTCTACAAAATGGGATAACAGTAGTACCTACTCCACAAGGTTGTTAGGAGGATTAAAAAGTTAAAATTTATGAACTCCTTAGAACACTATCTGGCACATGAATTTTTGTTAAAAAGGACAGTAATATGGGAGACTTTTAAAAATCTCTCATACTTTCCTGTGCTTTCCAAAGTTAGTACACTATCGTTTTTCATCAGAATAAAAACAGTCCTTCTCAAAAAGCCCCCAAAATGTTAATGCTAACGGATGTCACTGGAAGAGCTAGTTAAACTGATTCCTTGATCAGTCCAGCAGCAAAGATCCAAGGATAAACCTTCTCACACAAATGGAACCAAATGGTAGCTTGTTGTTTCAGCATATCTGAAATATCCCCTCTTCCAAAACACCAACCCACCCCAGCTGCCCTCACCCCCAGCACACAGTCCACTTCCTTTTCCCAACCATGGCCTATTCACTTATAAGTTGTGCCCCACCTGGAGCTTCTCACATACTATACTCTGCACCATCCTTGCTCTTTTCTCCCCTAACGATACTCTCTAACATCTAATTAAATTTTAGTTTCAAATTCTTAGGCGTGACCATAGATCTCTTTTTATAAGATTTTATTTATTTATTTATTTATTTGACAGAGAGAGAGAGAGAGAAAGAGCAAGCGCGAGAGCACAAACAGAGCGGCAGGCAGAGGGAGAAGCAGACTCCCTGCTGAGCAGAGAGCCCGACATGGGGCTCGATCCCAGGATGCCGGGATCATGACCTGAACCAAAGGCAGACAAACCGACTGAGCCACCCAGGCACCCGGGCGTGACCACAGATCTTAACTTTTAAAATTTGCCATTCACTTGACCTTCCACAACTCTGACTTCCTCCAGTTGTTGAAACCGGCAAGTTAATCAGAAAATTGCTCTGATAATTTAACACTGGCAATCATGAAACAGGCTATCAAAAAGCTAATAAGAATTCACATGCCTGAAATTTCTCCTTCATGTTTCAAATTGACTTTCATATGTAACTCATTACTGTATGTATACTATCAAGTTTTATTAGTTTCAGGTGTACAACATATTGATTTGAAAATTTTAATTTTTTTAATTTTAAGTAATCTCTATACCCAACACAGGGCTCGAACTCACAATCCTGAGATCACGAGTCGCACACTCTTTCCACTGAACTAGCCAGGAGCCCCTGATTTGAAAATTTCTTAAATTTTTATTTTATTATTTTTTTTTTACTAAAGTGTAATTAACAATGTTACATTATGTTATTTTTATTTTTTATTTATTTTTTAAAGATTGATTGATTAGAGAGAGAGCACAGAGTGAAAAGAAGAGGGAGAAGCAGACTCCTCGCTGAGCAGAGAGCCTGATGCAGGGCTTGATCGCAGGACCCCAAGATCATGACCTGAGCCAATCATGACCTGAATCAAAGGCAGATGCTTAACCGACTAAGCCACCCAGGCACCCCATATACAGTGTTATTTTTTTTTAATATTTTATTTATTTATTTGTCAGAGAGATAGAGAGAGCACAAGCAGGGGAAGCAGCAGGCAGAGGGAGAAGCAGGCTCCCCGCTGAGCAAGGAGCCTGATGCAGGACTCCATCCCAGGGCCCTGGGATCATGACCTGAGCTGAAGGCAGACGCTTAACCAACTGAGCCACCCAGGCATTCCTATAGTGTTATTTTTAAAGCCATTTTCTCCTACCATGATGAAAATGTTTCCACTCTCCAATATGGTAGCCACTAGCCAGAGGTGTAGACTGAGCACTTGAAATATGGCTAGTGTATGATTGAGGAAATTACTTTTATTTAATTTTAACTTATTTGAATTTAAATAGCCACATATAGTTAGTGGCTATCCTATCAGACAGTGCAGTTCTAACACTGTCCTCATTCAAAAAGACACATTCCATTGTGGCCCTATAAGAAGAATATGGTAGATGACTCTGGGTAAATATCAATTCCCTCCTTAGAGCCTGTTTCCTCATCTGTAAATGGGAATGAGCATCATGACCTATTCCACCTCATGAAGCTTTTGTGAAAAATGCAAAAGATAATGAATATGAAAGTATAATAAAGCCTTAGGAGGAAATCATTATTTGTCCATTGTATGGACAGAAAATATATTAAGTTTTGTTATCATACAACAGTTAAAGGACATGTAAAATTAGCTAGTTCAACATCATGTGGCATTTTTGGTAACAGCTCTTTTGAGATGTTATTCACAGACATACAATCCACCATTTAAAGCATACAAATTCCATGGTTTTTAGCATATTCAGAGTTGTACAACCATCACCAAAATAAATCTTAGAACATTTTCATCACCTCACAAAGATGTTTTTTTTAAAAAAAAGATTTTATTGATTTATTTGAGAGAGAGAGAGGGGTGAAGCACAGAGGGAGAGCAAGAGGGAGAAGCAGACTCCCTGCTGAGCCGAGAGCCCAACGTGGGACTCGATCCCAGGAGCCTGAGATCATGACCTGAGCCGAGGGCAGACGCTTAACCAACTGAGCCACCCAGGCACCCCAAGACGATTATTTTGAAACTCAGTAGATGGTACCATAATTATGTGTTTCAGAAAATTCAGTTGCACAAATAAGTCAATGAGTGCCTCTTGCTAGGCAGGTAACATCCTACATGAGAAGAGACAGCCCAGTCAATGGAGTCTCTGCCTCGGCTGATGTCAAACATCTGGATTCCTACCTCAGTTCTATAGTTCCTTAGCTGTTTGACTCTGGGCAGGTCCCCATACAGTGCAATGAGGATTACATGAGTACACATGTAAAGCATTTAATGCAGTGCCTAACACAAAGCAGATGCTCAGTTCATTCTGATCCATTTTTGCTCCACTCTGGGACATAAGGTCCATAAGAAGCTTAGACCATTCTGGTTTACTGATGTCTCCTCAGCTGACTTTTTCCTCTTTAAAGGTTTATTTATTTATTTTAGAGAGACAGAGTGAGCGTGCGATTAGGGGGAGGGCCAGAGGGAGAGGATCTTCAAGCAAACTCCCATTGAGCACAGAGCCTGGACACAGAGCCTGTGTGAGATCATGACCTGAGCCGAAACCAAGAGTTGGACACTTAACTGACTAAGCCATCCAGGTGCCCCACCCCCACTTCTTTTTCTCAGCTAACTCTTAAAACATCACCAAGTACATATAGATGTTCAAACATTTGCTGAATGAATGAAGAGAACTTCTTACCTAGTTCCTGGGGTTCCCACATGTAAGGGTCGACCCCTCCATAACTGAAAGACTCATATCCTTGTGTCCCTGATTCTGCTCGGTCATCTTCTCGTTTCAACAGCCTGTTCTTGGCTTTCTTAGCCTTCTGGACAAGACCTTAAAAAATAAAACAAATACCATAAATCGATCCATAAACATCTAGTAAAAAGTCAAAGGAAATCTCAAAACACAAGAGCTGATAAAATGACTATGCTTTATTTAAAAAATTTTGGATCCCAAATAAATTGTAATAATGAGTCCACAACCACTGTATTACAAATACCACAGAGCATTCATTCACTCGTATTAGCAGTAAGTTGGTTTATATAGCCAATATACAGCTAAATTACTATTCATTGCCAAATTTAAGAGCCCAATTAAAGTATAAAATGAAATTCAATGAGGGGGCCAAGGCAATGGAAATGTTTTTTTCTAGACCTTAACTGGGGAGGTGGTTACATGGGTATATACATTTTTCAAAACTCACTAAATTGCACACATAAAAACTTATGTGTAAACTATATCTTAATTAAAATAAAGTTTTTTAAAAATTAAATTCTACAGGGGCGCCTGGGTGGCTCAGTCGTTAAGTGTCTGCCTTCTGCTCAGGTCATGATCCCAGGGTCCTGGGATCAAGTCCCGCATTGGGCTCCCTCCTCAGCAGGAGGCCTGCTTCTCCCTCTCCCACTCCCCCTGCTTGTGTTCCCTCTCTCGCTGTGTCTGTCTCTGTCAAATAAATAAATAAAATCTTTAAAATAAAAAAAATTTAAAAAATTAAAAAACTAAGCATCTGCAGAACAGGGTTTTGCTCCCTGTACTGAGGAGAGAGGACCTGCTGTTTGTTAAAAAGGGACAGCAGTCAACTTGTGTGGGAAAAAATTCTTGATCCTATGTTGCTCTCATCAAGGTTCTTAAATTTTGGGTAATTATCCCTTTCTGCCCCTAGAATCTAGTAGAAAATATGAGATTTATTTTTATTTATTTTTTTAAAGATTTTATTTATTTATGTGACAGAGAGTGAGCACAAGCAGGGGGAGCAACAGAGGGAGAGGGAGAAGCAGACTCCCCACTGGGCAGGGAGCCCGATGCAGGACTCAATTCCAGGACCCTGAGATCATCACCTGAGCTGAAGGCAGACGTTTAACGACTGAGCCACCCAGGCGCCCCGAAAATATCAGATTTAATACAAAATACAATTCTTCTAGATTTAATAGATCAATACTTCATGGAGTTCCCGCAATTTTTAAGTGCTCTGTCACCTGAATAACATTAAAAACACTACCACAGCTTTACAAAAACCTAGGGAAATGCAGATATGGAGGGGCTGGCAGGCAGAGGGGGAACTGTTATACTCATAGATATGTCTCAGTTAGACAGTCAAGCTAGTGGCTACTCTGAGATGGCTTTCTCCCACTGGAAAAAATAAGGTCCACCAGAACTAAAGGACACCGTCTAAAATGCATTCAAGTAATCTCTCTTAACAACATGGGAGAGAAAACTGCCTGATGTAAACAAAGGGTTAGCAAACAGGAAACTGGAGTTGGCACTCACTAATTCATTTTTGCAAACAAGACTAAACTGTGTCGGGTTAAACAGGCAGTCCATGCCATTTAACCACTTTAGGAGGACAGAAGAACACTCTGGCAACCTTCCCAGGTGTAGCACTTCAAGAGGGGTCAATTAAGAACAATCCCATATGTTTTTAAAACCACAAAGCAGAAAAAAAAAGTAATAACAACAACAACAAAAACACAAAGCAAAAGCCACGGTTAATTTTCAACCACCTTTTCTTACACTTACTGTACAAGTGCTAAACTGAAGCTGAACCAGGGCTGGGGCCCAAACTCACTGATCAGCTTCTACTAATGACAAATTTATATTTTCTTTCTTAAACTACTTCCAAAACCTGATACCAAGGTTTGTGCTTTTGGTTTTAACATTTCACTTGACAAAACCAGCAATGTCATAAAATTTCTAAGAACCGAAAGACCAAATAAAGACATGACCTGCTTTTTGAAGGACTTTTCAAAAATCTTTGATGTCAATCTTTAAAACTTTCCTGATTCTAAATCACAGAAAACTCCCACACAAGCAAGACTTCCTTCCTGACTAAACAAATGATCATGAGACTAAAGGAATGCTTAACTCAATTTCTTAGTTCTTTCTAGAAAAACACAAGAGAATTCTTTCAAGTGTTTTTCACAACTCATAAAATTTCTATTCTATTATTCTTTAAGTGGATTCCCACATCTATTATTCCCTAAGTAACCTTAAACATTTTTCCTCTAATAAATAGGTCACCACAGGAAGCTGAAGACATTGTCTAACCTCTGTACCCACTAGCATCAACGTCTTAGTGACATAACAGTATATGACTCAGTTCAGCTGACACTCAGGCTAGACGCTCATTAAAAATCACGGCGGCCCTTCAACTGTCCAAGGAAACCTAGACGATCAGTTTGTTTGCATTCTAGCTGCAGGACAAACTGTGATTGCAACACAGGGTCTGGTACCATCAGTGACACCAAGTGGAAAGAGCGGCACTAGACTCAGAGGTGACAGAAGACCTGGGGTCAAGGCCTAGTTCTGTCAATTCCTATGCAACCTTGGATAAGTCACTCAACATCTCTGAGCTTCACTTCTTCTCTGCAGAATGAAACCAACCACTTTCTTGCAGAGTTGCTATGAGAATCAAAAGAAATAATATTTATGCGAGAACTCTGAAAACTATAAAATGTACATTTTGGGGGAGGCTTTCTAATAGTTACAGCTCTCCTCCAGCCTCATTTATCACAGCCCTCAGGATTTTGAAAATATTTGACTTTGTCATGTTTCTGGACAGAGGTTATAAATGTTAATGATTTCAACAATTTTTTCTGAACTGAAAAGTGAGACATGGAGTGGGACTATATGATTACAGGGGGCACGTGACTCACATGTGTGGAGGCCAAATTCCACTTAGAAATACACGATCCTCCCCTTCTCTCTCATCCAACACAGAATTGTGAATACACATCTAGACCTTTTTAATCTCACTGCCTTCAGAAATGCTGCCAGTTGGGAGAAGCAGGTGAAAGTGAGTTCCAGAGTAGTGGCATCATATTTAGGAGGACCGGAAATGAACACTATGTCTAGTTAAAATTGCTTTGAAAAAATCTTTCTGCAACTCTCTATGACCTGAGCCCTGGGAAGCTCAAAAACCATGTTTAACTTTTTGGGTTGTTTCTCCTTGCTTTTCAACTATGACCTTCCTTTTTCTGGCCTGTAGAGGACAAGGGATAAGTGAAGAAGGAAGAATGGCAGAAGGCTTGAATTTGTGACAGGGAAATGGGTGTACAATGTGCCTCCACTTTCAGAGAAAAAGGAAAGGAGTTCCACTCCAAATTCTTACAGGCTGGCAATTAGATAATTCAGTGTAGCAAGAGACAGCAAAGCATAAGACTTACATTTACTAAGTTCAAAGCCAGGCCCTGCCTCACTATGTGATTTCAGGCAACTTATCTAATTTCTCTGTGACTAGTACCCTCATGAGTAAAGTGGGTCTCACAGTCCAATAGTTATTGTGAGAATTAAATGAAGTTCAATCATGGGAAGACTTTGAACAATGCCTGGCACATGGTAAGCATAAGATACATGTTCATATATGTTCACTGCTATTATTATTAATTTTCTATTGTTTATCACCGATGTTCTGGTGGCATCATAGAAGTTAATGAAACCATCCCATGAGTTAACGCTCCCACTGACAGAATAGGGTAAGCAAAAAATTCTTGCCTCTTACTTTTAATTTGCCCTTTGACATCATGGTCTTCCCCAGAGTGCTCTTCCTCATAATGTGACTGAAGCTGATAGAAAGACTGCAGGTTCTTCAGGCACAAAGGGCAAAGGAAGCCCTCCCTCACTTCCCCAGGGTCATCCAGAGAAGCCATAGCAGTGTCCCTTTCAACCCCTGCAAGACAGGGGCCTCATGCCAACAGTCAGCTTGATTTCTCCACAAGGGACCAGGGCTCTCACAGCATTAGCTTAACCAAGCAGCACACAGATGATGGAGAAGTGGTATCATGGCCCTGGATGAGGTTTCCTCTTTGGAGTAGGAGAAGCTCTGAAACAGGAAAGAGGGGGGAGGAGAGGGAGAAGAAAAAAAAGGCCATTCAGGCTAATTAGCAGCAATTGAGAGTTTTCTTTGTTCTTTTCACAGTTCAAGATTTCTTAATGTGTGTTCAGGTGTTCAGTACAAGTTTGAAAACACAAAACTGCTTTCTCAAATCCTTACACCAAAACACAAAACCTTTAAAGATTTGAGAACATCACTGGACAATGGCAATTCAATGAAGTAGGGAGCACAGATTCCTGAAGATAAGAAAATTCAACTTCAAAAGCAAACAATACCAAGGCAGTTCTCTAACATTCACTCCAACTGGTCCAACTTCATAATCTGTATGCCATTTTAGTCACTGGGGAAATGTCTGAAGTACTTACCAACATACAGAAATTTTTGACTCTTCACCCTGGTCATTTAACCAACCACATGTACTGAGCTCTTACACATATGTCAAAAATGCAAATAGAAAAAGAAATAGTGTCTGCCCTAAAAAAACAAACAAAAGTAAAACCAACACCAACCAAACAAAAATCCCAACCTTAGTCTAAGGAGGAGCATTAGAAACCCAGTGGTAAAAAGAAAAATCTACTTTTTGCTTTATATTTGTAGAGTATTTTCTCTACAATGAGTTTACTAGATTTTATAAGCCAATAAATGACAGTTGAACAGCAAGCCTAATGTTCTCACTGCTTCAAAAACAAAAGGATTTGGTGCTTAAACAATTCAGGGCTTAATTAAGTTACATTTTCACTTTTACTGGGCCATGGCAAAGTCACTTCCAATGTCACCTCAGAAAAACTCCCAGTCATAGGGAGAATCCAGACAAAACCATTCCACAAAAGTGGAGAAATTTCTCCGCAAAATCCTGAGGTCACAAACTACAGGAAAGAGTAAGGGGAAATACATGACCCTCAGCTTTGGATGGAGCTGATGAGAGGGCCTGTGAAGAGGGAATGCCTGGTCCTCAAAACTGAAGGGTAGCTGTGACCCAGAAAATAAACAAATGAAACACCAGGACCCTGTTTTTTTTCCTCTAAGAAACCCCATGACTATATACACACAGATCTCAGTCCCTTTTCCAGTCACTGAAATAGTAGCTCCAGTTCCCACCCCAGCTAGTGGTTCATCAGATGCCCTGACTCTGAAAGCCCCCTTCCTTCCCATGCATTCACCCTAACAACCACAAATCAAACACACACACTACACACACACACACATACACGCACGCCCTTCACATCACAACCCAAACTTACTTCCTCAAGGAAATGCCCCTTATTGAGGCATTCTACCATGGGACAGCTCCTGCACTTCCTTCAGGGCACTTATATCAATTTATAATCACAAATACATAAAATAACTAAGTACATAAGACTCTAAGTTCTGTAAGGGCAGAGACCATGTGCGTTTTTCCCACCACCTTATCCCCATGAAGAAACGCAATAAAGCCTCAAGAATGAATGAATGCGTGAACGAACTCTAAAATCACATAACCAAACACAACACAAACCAAAGAAATGTACTACAAACCACCAAGCCAGACCCCACAACCATAACATATGCAAGCCCCTCACACCCTACACCACGCTAAAAATAAACATAAAACCTACATATCCTCAAATTATACACCCAGCATGAATGCTACCCGGCTACATGCCGCAAACACTACACAGCCCACAGTCGCACTCATCACCGCCTCGACCGCACACAACACCCGCCACATAATTCAACACGATTATGTATACGTCGCATAACCACACACAACATGAAGACTCGAGCCTACAGAGCAGGCATGACAACTTCACACATCGCACAGACGCCACACCAAACACTACAAAGAACTCCACACAAACTGGGACCCAAACGCCTCAAGCTCACACAACCAAGGAACCAAACACAAGCACTCGGGAGACAACCGCCCACCCGCCCTCAGCCGCATAACCAAACACAACTATGCACGCCCCGCCTAACCACACAACCAGAGCCCAATCGTCGCAAGCACACACAGGCGAAACTCGCGGCCCGAAAGCCACATCTCCCACCACGCACGTCACACCCACCACAACCACACACATCCCACACCCGCACGGCCCGCCCGTCTCTGTTCCCCAGGGGAGCCGTGCTCCCACCCCTCAGGCCCTGCCCGGCCCTCTGTACCCGGCCGCGCTCCCACTGGCACGCAGGCCCGTCGGGTCCTCCCGCCCGGGCTCTGGGCCTTTGCAGTCCCTCACTCAGCAGCAGCCGCCATCTCCATCGGCTGCTCGACGCTCGGCAGGCGCGCCTGCGCGGCACCGAAACCGGAAGACAGGCTGACAGACGCCTGTCGAGCGCCGAATCTCCGAGGGCGCGAAGGGGCCAAGGCGGGTTCCAACAGTGCAAGGCGGCCCGCGGCTTCTGCGCAGGCGCTGTAAGAACCAGCGGGGTGGGACTCGGTAATCTTCCAAGGTTTTCCAGGCCCAGGTGCTTACCAGCAACGCGTTAAGGTCAGACCCTAGCTCTCTTCTCCGTTGTAGAGGTGGGAAAACTAAAACCTGAGATTCTTTCGCTTTTGGCCAACGTGTGCGATGGATGAGGGGGCGGAGGTGGGGGCATGTTTAACACTTCCTCCGCGACTCCCAACTGCTGTTCTGAATAAATTTGGGTCGATTTAAAGTTCCTGAGAGCTAGAGATAAAAGGAATATTCAGGAGACTTGGAGGATGTGGAAAGAGCCAGAATAGAACCACGTTAGACGTGGAGTATCCATCCCGAGGGTATGTAGCATGGTCGAATCTGTGGGAAACCTGTGGCATTTTCAAATGCAAATCAAAACCGCAATGAGCTATCACCTGACACCTGTTAGAATAGCTCTTATTGAAAAGACAAGAGGGGCGCCTGGGTGGCTCAGTCGTTAAGCGTCTGCCTTCGGCTCGGGTCATGATCCCGGGGTCCTGGGATCGAGCCCCGCATCGGGCTCCCTGCTCGGCGGGAAGCCTGCTTCTCCCTCTCCCTCTCCCCCTGCTTGTGTTCCCTCTCTCGCTGTCTCTCTCTCTGTCAAATAAGTAAATAAAATCTTTAAGAAAAAGAAAAGACAAGAAATGACATGTTGGCGAGGATATAGAGAAAAGTGAACCCTTGTGCACTGTGGGTAGGAAAGCAAATTGATGCAGCCACTATGGAAAAGAGTGTGGGGAGTCCTTGAAAAATTAAAAATGGGACTACCCTCCCATCCAGCAATTCCACTTCTGGATATTTAGCCAAGTGAAGTGAAAGCACTAACTTGAAAAGGTATATGCACCACCATCACCATTCCCACCATGTTCTTTGCAGTATTATTTACAATAGCCGAGATATGGAAACAACCTAAATGTCCATCCATGGATGAATAAAGGATATATGGAATATTATTCAGCCACAAAAAAAAAAGACTAAAAGCTTGCCATTTGCAACAACATGGATAGACCTTGAAGGCGTTATGCTAAGTTAAATAAGTCAGAGAAAGACAAATACCATATGACCTCACTTATATGTAGAATCTAAAAAACACAAAAACAAAAACCAAGCTCATAGATAGAGAACAAATTGGTGGTTGTCAGAAGTGTGGGGGGGCGGGTGAAATGGGTGAAGGGAGTTGAAAGGTACAAACTTCAGGTTATAAAATAAATCATGGAGATGTAATGTACAGCTTGGTGACTATAGCTAATAATACTGTATTGCATATTTGAAAGTTGCTAAAAAAGAGTAGATCTTAACAGTTCTCATCACAAGAAAAAATATTTTGTAACTGTATATGGTGAATTTGTTAAATAGACTTATTGTGATGATCATTTTACAATATATGCAAACTCAAATCATTTTGTTGTACATGAAATGTATATAATATATAATGTATATATAATGACATATATGTCGATTATACCTCAATTAAAAAAAAATAGAGGATGGTCACTCAGCACCTACTCTGTGCTCTGCATTGTGCTGGTCAACACAGGGTAGATAGGCACAAAACTTCATCCCAGTCCTGGGAAGCCATTTGCTTTGTGCCCTGCCCAAGGGCTGGCATCCAGCAATGTCCTGGGCTCCAGAAGAAGAGCTGCAGAGCATGATGGGGAGATCCTGAGCTTTTGGATCAGAAGGTGACCTCAGTTCACGTTCCAGGAGTGTTACTTGACTCCTTTGCCTCCTGGTAGCACCATCTGTAAAATGGGACACAAATAATAGTTTCTGGGGCGCCTGGGTGGAGGCTCAGTCGGTTAAGCGTCTGCCTTCAGCTCAGGTCATGATCCCGGGATCCTGCTCCGTGGGGAGCCTGCTTCTCCTTCTGCCTGCTGCTCCCCGTGCTTGTGCTCTCTCTCTCTCTCTGTCAAATAAATAAATAAAATATATTTTTTTAAAAGTAAATAATAGTTTCCACTTTGTGGGGTTATGAATATTGAGTGAGGTATGTGTATGTGGCAGTGAGTGTGTGTGTATGTGTGTATGCCTTTAACACTAGCTTTGGCTCTGGACAAGAGCACTGCTTCTGCGATTAGCACTGGGCCTCCAGCACCTTCCATTTAAGAAACAGGGCTCCCAGTAGGGAAAGCATTGAGTGGAAGGCAGTGCCCAGTGAAAAGGCAGGGAGCTAGGGGTCTAGAGGCCTGGGTTCTAGCCCTGGCCACACCTTACTTTGTGACTTTGAACAGTTCCCTTCCCTCTCTTGGCCTCAGTTTCTTCACCTGTACAGATAAAATTAGTTCCAAAGACTTGCAAGCTCTGCTACTTTTTTCAACCTGATGACCAATTTTTTGAACTTTATAGGGTTGGCAGGAATGGACAGTGGTCTCCCTTTGTGCATTGGCACAGACAGGGAAGAGACCTTGCCAACCTCTCAGAAGTAAAACAGGAGACCAAGCTCTGCCTCTCTGTCGCTGGCCTCTGTCTTAGGTCCTGGTAGCCAGGACTTGGGGAGTGAAAACACCCCAAGGTGTGGGGTGTAAGTGTCTGGGACCAGATAAGTTCCAGGACAGGTCGCTCTTACAGGCAAGACTATGTTTGGGGTCAGGTGATGGATCTCTTATTAAACCATTATGATTTTGCCGCTTGTTCTACCATTTACAAAAGCCAGTGTCACATTCATCATTTCAGTTGCTCAGAAAAGCAGTGGCAATGTGACCTGCAGCTAGCTTGTGAATTAATTCTGTAAATCATGATGGATCGGCCACTGCTGTTCTATTGCTATTTTTAAGGGTGAGGATGGTAATGCTTTACACTTTATCAAAACCATTTTCATTATTGAAATCCTTTGGGTAAGGGTACCTGGGTGGCTCAGTTGGTTAAGCATCTGCCTTCAGCTCAGGTCATGATCCCGGGGTCCTGGGATCGAGACCCGCATCGGGCTCCCTGTTCCGTGGGGAGCCTGCTTCTCCCTCTTCTTCTGCCTCTGCCCGCCGTTCCCCCTGCCTGTGCTCATTCTCTCTCTGATTAAATAAATAAATAAATCCTTTGGGTAACTCTATTACTATTTCCATTTCTATAATAACAGTGGCTAATGTTTACTGAGTGATTCACATGCGCCAGTCATTGTTACATGTGCTTTATGTGCAGGGACTTGTTTAATTCTCATACAATTCTATGTGGTACCAATTAATATCATTCCTATTTTTTTTAAAGATTTTATTTATTTACTTGAGAGAGAGAGAATGAGAGAGAGCACATGAGAAGGGGGAGGGTCAGAGGGAGAAGCAGACTCCCTGCTGAGCAGGGAGCCCGATGCGGGACTCGATCCAGGGACTCCAGGATCATGACCTGAGCCGAAGGCAGACGCTTAACGACTGAGCCACCCAGGCGCCCTATCATTCCTATTTTTAAAGTGAGGAATCTGGCACATCTGGGTGGCTCAGTCGGTTAGGCGTCTGCCTTCAGCTCAGGCCATGATCACCAGGTCCTGGGATTGAGCCCCGAATTGGGCTCCTTGCTCAGCGGGGAGCCTGCTTCTCCCTCTCCCTCTGCCTACCTCTCCGTCTGCTTGTGTGCGCTCTCTGTCTCTGACAAATAAATAAATAAAATCTTTTTAAAATATAAAATAAAGTGAGGAATCTGAGGCACAGAGAGATTAGGTGACAACCTCCACTTTTTCTTCCTCTGCGAAGGCCTGGTCTCTGAGGCTTCCTGCATCTCTCGGCATGTTCCAGGCACCAACCACAGACCAGGCATAGAGATAGAGGATGTGAGGAGAATAAGGCAAGATGGTCTCTCAGTCTGGGAGGAGGCCGTAGCTGGCAGAGGATACAAACACTCATACAGCAGTTAGTTTAAAAATATACATATATATACACATGTATGTGTGTGTAGAGAGAGAGAGAAAGAGAAAGAGAAGGGTGCACATGTGTTCAGATGCTCTGGCATCAAAGGGGAGGCTGATGAAATACCCCGTGGGAATTCAGGGAATTCAGGGAGGGTTCTCAGAGGCAGCAACACGTGAGCAGAGCCCCCAGGGAAAGATGATCATGAAGAGCCTTCCAGGCTAGGAGAACAGCGTATGCAAAGGCATGACCATGGGGAAGAACATGTGTCCTTTGAGCAACTTAGAAAAGTTCATTTGCGCTTAGAGCGTTGTTCCCAACACCATAGGGGGCTGCTTCTAAGGGTGGAATCTGGAACTCTTCACCTTTGCCTTCCACCTTATGGTTCTCTCTCTCTAGCTGTCTCCTGTCTCTCTCTTTCTGGACCCTTATCGTCAAAGTCTACCCACACAAGGCATCTTGGCATCACATTGAAACCCCTGAGCAGGAAAGGGAAATCATGATGCTGTAAGCGTACGTCAGGGGAAAGTGGGCAGCACGTCATGCAACTCCCCAAAGATCTGGCTTCCCTCCAGGCTGGCCCAGGCCCCAGTTCCGCGGGCCTCTGCCACTGCCACTGTGGTGGTGAGCAGGCAGGGGGAGGCCGTACAGGCGGGTACGCCCC